TGTCTTTTAACATCACGTTGACATTCAGTAAGTGAGCAGACATCTTTCTGTAAACGGTAAAGTCTCCGTTACCCAAGGTGTGATGCAACAACAACCTATTGTTTTGGGACGACGTGGCCGGCACCCCAGCGATATGTACGAGGCCAACCTGTTCTGCATAGGCACCGGCAATCCCATTCAACGCGGACAATTCGCCGACACCGAATGTGGTGACAATACAGCCCAAGCGAGTCACACGGGAATAGCCGTCAGCGGCGTAGGCGGCATTGAGTTCGTTGGCGTTCCCGGCCCATCTCATGCCTGGAACCTTGGATATATAGTCTAAAAGTAGCAAGTTGAAGTCACCAGGCACCCCGAAGATTGTTTTAACGTGGAGCTGGTTCATTCTTTCGAAAATGTACTGGCCGAGAGTGATAGACATAGTGTGGACTGTATGATAGAAGGGCGGTCTGTTTGGTGGATAGATAATTGTTGGTGTAAAAATGAATAAGATGGATAGGAAATATGGGGAAATGAGGGGGGGTTTATATAGTTTTCTACCCTCGTTGAAACAGATAAAATAGCAGGTATAATCCTGGAGTCAGGGGGATGGGAGGTATCAGAAGTCTTTACTAGATGTATAATGCATGTCGCGTGGTTGTGGAGGGATTTCTGCCGGTTTGAACAATTGTCTTAAACAGGAAAGCATCTAGGCCTAAAATTTCACTTCCTAGGGATAATTTCAACATTCTGGTGGTAGTCTCTTGCCTGATCTAAAGCTAGAGTTGTTTCAGGTAAGCTCAGAGAATGACTCCTCAGGCGTCATGTTATACAGTCTCGGTAGAGACCGAATAGTGATTCACAGCAATAACCGACTTTCAGCAGTTCATCCGATATCAACATAGACAGCACACAATAGTCGGTTTACAATTCTCGGGTTAGTAAGAATTGCACCATACCTGGTTTGCCGCAAGTGATTTTTTGTTAGCGGTAGTTATCTTATGAGAAGGATAGATGACGGTTATCGGAGGATTTTTCTGAGCGGTACAGGGCGTCAACCGGCGTGTTGCTGCAGGTATGCGTCAGATCACTTCATATGGGCACAGCACCGTCACCTTCCGAGCGATAATCTTGGAGAAATCTGCCCTATTCGGAGACATAGAGGCCGATAACCGGCGCCGAAGATCCCAATCCTAAACATTCAACGGTCTTGTCCACGGGCTACATTCTATTTATCCAGTAATACAGAGTATGAGGCCTGTACGATTTAACGCTATGGCTCGTGTCACGTGTCAGCAGTACGGTAGGTTATTTTCGAAAACTTGTAGATTTGTGTGATGCAAGTTCATGAATGATTTAGTTCCTTCTGGTGTCTAACATTATAAGGGATATAGTATCAGGTTTGAATAAAATGTTATTGGTTGAGAAGTTTGTCCTGCATTTCCGTTGGAAGTATGAAACAATAATCCCATAAAAGGTTCTCATCTACTACCTTCCATTCGTGGTATGCCACAACGGGGGAGTACAAAATTATTATGAAATTGATGGAAAAAATAGGTACGACTAAGAAATATCTGTTTGCGATAGTCCTCACGCTTGGGCCGAGAAACTCATGCATGACACTGAAGGTAAACCCCGATGCAGGAATCAATAGCAACCAAAGGATGCATGATAATTCAGGAGAAAGAGCCAGATAAAATTAGCGAGAAACGTGAGGTGCATATATATATAAACTAGGCGCTTAGAGCCCTAACAGTTTAACTTACCTGTGAGGAAATACCCGAATATAAACGAACAGTGTCTCATCATGCTTATGGCTTTCGGGAGTGCAACTTGATCGGCGCTAGGTGAATGCTAATTATAATGAAACAAGTTGACGTCTGCGCCAAAAAGACAATTTATCCCTGGTTAAGGCTCTAGCCAAGAGATTGGGCTTCTACATATTTCATGGACAGATCAATTACTAAAGGAAATACATCATCCCTCAAAGCTTGTTAAAGGCTTCAACGACAGCGACGGCAGTGGAGTGAGCAGAAGCTGGGTTGACACCGGTGACAACTCTACCGTCAGTCAAGTTCCAGTCACCGAATGGAGTTGGAGGATGAACATAAGTGGCACCAACCTCCTCAGCAATGGTCTGGACGGTCTTCAACTTGTACTTTTCCAAGATAGAAGTAATACCCATTTGGTCTTCACCGATATCAGTGAAGCCAGTGACCTTCTTGCCCTTGACCAAGTGTTCACCGGTCTTCTTGTCCATCAAGTTGGCAAAGATGGAACCACCGTGGCAGACGGTGGACACAATACCACCGTTGTTGTAGATTTCGGAGGCAATACTCTGCAAAGTGCTGGCAGTTGGGTAGTCGAATAAGGTAGCATGGCCAGCGGAGGCAAAGAAGATACCGTATTCGTCGGCATTGATGTCAGAGGCCTTCTTGATCTTCTTGAACGCCTTGGAGCATTCAGAATTTGGATCGTTGAGCTCGGCAATATCTTCCTTGCTCAAGAAATCCTCGCTGGTGGAATGGTCATCGAGACCATAGGAGCCAGATTCGGAGGCAAAGTCGACTTCAAAACCAGCCTTGGTAAGCACGTGCCATGGGTGGGATGCTTCACCGTAGAACAAACCGGTCTTGCTACCATCCTCGTAGAATGGTTCGCAGTAAGAGGTGATGGAGATTAAAGCTTTCTTTGGTAAGGTTGGAGACATTGCTGGATGTGATATTGATGAGAGAGAAGAAAAAGTAATTGATAACCGGAGGAATTCTAGACCTTTATATAGGTTTACGGGAAGCAAGTTGCTTAAGAGAAAATACCGGATTTCAGGACTTTCCAAGTACTGGTTATGCATGAGCCCCGTCAGACAAAGCAAGTATGGGGTGTAGCTGCAGGATACTTGCTAACATTATTCGTACTAAAGCGCACTTTGTCTTGTCTGAGGTCTGGGTATCACGTGAATTCTTCTATCTCCGCTGTCTTAACATTTGTCAGCCTCGTAGGGGTTAATGCACAAACAGGAGGTAACCGGCATATGGAAGCTTTACAAGGCAAAAGGGTTTATAGAGGATACAGGCCATTATTATTATTATTACTCAGCAGCTTGGTGGAGAATGCACATGGTATATCAAATATTCCAGCAAAAATGAAAGTCAGAGCCTAGAGGAGAGATAGACCTTTAGGAGGATAATACGGCAATAAAAGGTTGGGGGAGATCCGGCCGCTCCGGTTGCTCATAATTTTGAGGCTAACACAGGGAAGAGGCTCGTCAGACCCGCAATAAGATCGGGTGTTTCAAACCCATCGTTTAGATGGTAGATTATGTATTACCTGATGGGTAATGGATATGTCATCATTTTTCTCTTCAGCACCTTCACCATGATATTAATATTGTATTCTACACAGCATCCCATGTCGTTTGATACTTGTATCCCACTAAACTGACACAGCAGTCAAACAGAAGTGGTGTAAAAGCAAGTTGTAAAGCCACCTAATACTCACACCCAGTAGTCCTAATCTCTGCGATAATCGATGTCAAATCTCTATAAATACCTTCTCCTCTGCCCTTCACATGCTTGGCCCCCAGCCCCCTCTCTAGAAGACGTATGCCGCATGCCACCGCTCTTGCTCTTACTCCTGTACAAGGGCATGGGCCTGCTGTCAGAAACATATACCACCGCCTGTTTTTCGTTCTCCCCCAAACCTTAGTTATTCTCTTGGCTTTCTATATATCCTACGTTTTCTGCATCCGACGCCCTATCTGACCCTCTACACTACTGCTACATCTCTCGCTTGTAGCATGTCGCACGTGACCGTGCGGCGGATGCAAATTTAATTTTCGTACATAAACGCCAACATAAACGGCTTGGTTACACTGATAACCTTGCTCCCCACATGCTTTGCTCCAGAACCCAAACAGCGTTAGCTGTGCTCGGAAAACAGTACGTGCTTTCTCGTGCATTTACACAAACCGCCCCCACGTTCAAGAGAAGAGACCGGGATGGTGTGAAGCCCGGGATCGACAACTACAAGCCGGCCAAGACCACAGAGACACCCTTTGAGAACAACTTTCCGGTGACCAAGCGTGTTAAGGCATGGGAAAGAGACGGCGCAACCACCAAGGAGCAGAAGGATGAGTGGTTCCGCAGCAAGTACAATTATATCAACTCGCCAAAGAAGCAGTACCGCGACGCGAACCCGGACAACTTCAAGCAGTTCGCGGTTCAGCGCAAGGAGCGTGCGGCGCAGTCCTACGGCGCGCGCATGCAAGAAGAGAACAAGGAAAGGCGACACAACCGTGCACGTGGCTCACGCGACCCTGTCTCGCGCTTGCAGTCATCGCCGTTGTGCGACTACATCTATGGGACCCAGCCGGTGCTCGCGGCATTGAAGGCGAACCAGCGCGGATATCTCTCAAAGCTTTTCATTTACAAGCCGCAAGACGACAGCTCCGTTGCTATCATGAAGCTTGCGCGTTCACTCGAGGTAGAAGTGGAAATGGTGAACTCAAAACATGACCTCAACATGTTGACCAACCATGCGGTGCACAACGGCTACGTGTTGGAGGCCAAGAAGTTGCAGCCGCCCGAGATCTTAAAACTTGGGCCGGCTGACGGCGAGACTGGGCTCTTCAGCGTCTTTCGCGAACACCGCTTGAAGGAGCATGTGGATGAGGCAGCCGTGGTAAGAACACGCGAGTCGTTTTACAACGCCCCAGCGCAGGTCACCGCGACCGAAGACACTACACAAAACGAAGAAAAGGGTGGCATGTTCCCCTTGGGCTTGTACTTGGATGAGATTTCCGACCCCCACAATATCGGTGCCATTATCCGGTCCGCATACTTTCTTGGGGTTGATTTCATCGTCATGTCAGGTAAGAATTGCGCATCCTTGACACCGGCAGTCGGCAAGTCCTCCGCCGGTGCCCTCGAGTTCATGAAGATATACGTCTCGAACAAGCCGATGCAGTTCTTTACCGACTCCGCCAGCCAGGGTTGGACCTTTATCTCCGCCACCACGCCCGAGTTGGCCAAGGAGGACCAGAAAAAGTACCGCGACAAGAACCCGTTGACCGCCAAGATGCTTCCGCTCAATGGCTTGCGTGAGGTCTTGGAAAACACACCCGTAATGTTGGTCTTAGGGTCCGAGGGTACCGGGATTCGCACCAACTTGAAGCTCAAGAGTGACTTTATCGTGCAGATTGACAGCTTGCGAGCCGGCGCTGCCAAAGAGGCGAATGTTGATTCTTTGAATGTGTCCGTTGCCGCGTCTTTGTTGATGAGTAAGTTGTTGTATTAAATTAGAATAAACCTTGTATATAGTAAAATTTGTAAGGCGGATAGCAGAGGTTAAAGCGATGAGGCCAAGACGGGTGCTGTATACGAGCTTGGCCTGTTGGACTCAAACCTCTGCCCTACCTGCAATACCACCCAAAGAGAATGATAAATAAAGAGGGATAAATACCGGAGGTGTGCCCACGGAAAACTCCACCTACTCAAGGTATTAGAAATACTCCATATAGCCAGAAGGCATCAACCAACGGGCTCAAACCGACCGCATTACTTCAAGCATCTATACACGGATCAGTATGCCGAATATACTAATATGTCTCACTCACATCCACAATACACCTATCAATCATCCCCCACCCGAGTAAACGGATAGAGTCGACGATGATCCTTTTAACCCGAGAATTCTCCCGGTCCCAGACCATTTCCCGTATCAAGCCCAGGTCAAACAATCGCACTTTTAACTCACGGTGCCTGCCCTCCTCCGTCAAATCGCAGTACACCTGCCAGAGGGGCAAGATCCCCGGCACCACGAACGGTAACGTGGTCATGTGCTTCCCTTCATCCTCCTCGTCCTGGTCCTTTGTCACGTAGAGCGGGTTGTTGTGCTCGTTATAGTATTTGAGCCCATACTCCAGTGAAAGCTTGGCAGCAAACCTCTCGGCCTTTGTATAGGCGTTTCTACCAACCCCATAGACGTTTTCGCTCACATCCCTAGCCTGCCCGGACGTTAGTTCGTGGCGTTGGGGCGCATAAGAGCCGTAGTCCAACCTAAATTCGCCAAGAGGCACCGTTTCGTCCGTGGCAGATTCCACCAAGGTGGCAAATCGGCCATCCTGGAGCTTTACTGAGACGTCCTTCAAGGCCCAGAACTCGTAGGTCGCAAGGTCCAAAATCTCGCCCCCGAACTTGGCCTTGTACTTCATTTTGTGGCAGTCTGCGATGTAAAAGCCGAGATAGTAGTAAGCAAGCCCGAGGCGCTGGGTAAGAGCGACCTCTCGCAAGCCACCGATCGTCCCCAAGCCCCAGGAAGCATACGCTGGGTCCCAGATGAAGTACACAGAAGAGATTCCAGACGGTAAGACATCAAGCACCGCAATCGCACAGAGCTTTTCATCGATATAGTAACATTCATGCACTGGCCCAAAACTGGCTAATTTACCGCTGCTCCTGCCGTTAAGCACCTCCCAGAACTCCTCGTCCAACTCCAGCGTATCGAATGGGGAGTCGCACAAAAAGCCCTTGAATCCTTTCTCGGATATTTCCCTGTCCTGGTGGACATGTTGTTGATAGCGACGATACAAGTCGTACTTCTCCTTGGAAAAGGCGGCGGGTCCGAATCGCGTGTAAAACCGCTTAGGGTCGGCCCGCGCCTCGCCCGCGGTGAGCGTCTTTGCGAGGCTGAACAGCAGATTCTTCTTTGTCTCCAGTGATCCAGTGATGTTTCGGATGAAGCGATTCACTGCGTGTCTGTGCTCCTTGGTGTTGGGTACGTCGGATGTGCGGATGGTGTACATCCGACAGCAGTTGCGGAGGTTGTCGGGCTTGTAGGTGAAGTGGCCAGAGCGACGGAACCCTAATTGGATCAAGCGGTCGTACATGTCGGGAGAAAACTGGTAGGCATGAAAGCCCATGCTGGTGGAGCTTGGCGGCTCGGCATCTACTGCTCTAGCCGCCTTTTCGATGGAACGCAAGGCGTAGGCGTCGCCTTTGGGTGCGTGCTTACAGTAGCCACAGGACCCATCCTTGCGGTAGAACGGACGTGAGAGCACCAAGAATGACATGCTAGGAACCAAGTTGGATCGCGGTCTATGTTGAGCGCTTAGGTTGGCCACTTTAAACTGTTTTGCGTAGGCCGAAATGGCCAATCAGTGACGGTTCATGTTGGACAATCTGCCCCTGTCACGTGCAAACCGTGGACATGCATGGAATTCTTGGTTTACCACACGGCCTGTAACGGCGATGCCACGATGAAATTATAAAGTGGTATCGAAGAATGGTAGATATGCGTATCCGTTTAATGGTCAAGGTTTTAGATTGTTCGGTCTAAGTCTATTTTAAGAAGTAGCTTTTCTGGATGAAGGCCACAGGCCATCCATCCATCATAGCACGTGCGCTTGGAACATTCAGATTAACTTATATACGGCGTAGTGTTCTTGACCTCCACCCAAGCCTGAAACTGGGCCTGCTTTTCCTTTTATACTGCGGATCGTTACAACCAACGGCGAAGCTTTTGGGTGATGGCAAAGCAGAGCTGCGCATAGACCTTCTGTTCACTCATTAATCGCCTGCAAATTCTCCTCGAGAATGTCCAAGCTCTGGCCCAAGGCGCCAATCAAGCCCTCAAGCTCTGTGACGATTTCGTCCTTCGGCGTCGAGTCCATAAACAAGCGCATGCTGAGTGTGGGCAAGCCGACAAAGTCGCCCGGAGTCGTTACTGGGGTCGGGGTGAGGGTCGGGGCAACAGAAGCGCCGCTCGCATTGTGGCTCTGCAACGCCAACGCCAGAAACGACGCGGCCAAGGTCTGTTGCGCCGTCATCGACAGTGTCCCGGACTCGGACCCGGACGTTGAAGCCGACGCCGAGACCGGCTCGGACCGCGCCATCACGCCCGCGCTGAGAATCGGCTGGTTCTGTGCGAGGGCCACGCTCGGTTTCCGCAGGTAGCTCCGCGGTTGGACCACCTCCTCCAGGTTTGACGGTATAGCAGCGCCACCAGTCTCGTATTTCACACTCAATCCGGAAACTTCGGGCTTTGGAACCTCAGGCTTTCCGTTCGGGACCGAAGTCTCAGGCCGCCCGGCGAGCTCTGATCTCGGTCCGGAGATTTCAGACCGTCCGAATATAGAATTCTCAAATGACTTTTCAACCAATGGAGTCATAACCAAAGGAAGCGTGGCAGCCTGGTTGGGGTTAAAGCCAAACTGGTTGATATTTTCGTCTCCCAGATGCGCCGGCGCAGCCTGGTGTGAGAGGCTGAAACTGGAACTGGAATTCAGGTCGAATGTGGCGAGTGCGGGCAGACTGGCAGAGTGGCCCGGGGTGGGCATTTTGAGCTGCAAGTTTGGGTACTTCTGATGGAGAGACGAGGTCGCGAGCTTGAGCAACGGTGTCGGGCTAAAGGTCTGGATGGGCGTGCTACCGAAGACGTTGTTCGGGGGGTTGATTGTGGCAGTGGCGGACGCCTGACTGTCACCGGCAAGAGCTGCAATCTTAGTATTGATGGGCTGCAACAATGGCGCGTTCAGCGTGTGGAGCGGCTTCATCACAGGGAATGTCTCACGGCCCGGCGAATGCTCACTCTGGACCTTCGTGGGCGACGGAGTGCGGTGGGTGGTCTGGGTGAGATGGGTTACGGTGGGGCGCCGCACTGGCAAGTCGCCGTTCAAGCTGGCGAGCGTGGGCACACCAGCGCTGAGCGAGGCTGACGAGGAGTGCGACGTGAGCGAGTCCTTCCGGCGCGCATTCTCGAGGTTGGGCGCGGCTGACTGCGAGTGGAGCAACAGTGGCGCTCGTGGACGGTTGACACTGCGCGCGAGGTCGTCCATGGTGGGGATCTCGATCTGCGCGAGTGGTGGCGGCGGTGACGCAAAGAGCTGCTGCTGCGGCGAGACGCCGTCGCTCACAGAGGGGCTACGTAAGCGCGATTCGGTCTCCTCCTCGGTCTCGAAGAGCTTGAGGAGCGACTGCGGTGCCTCTTTCTCACGGCGCGCCTTCTTGGTGCCTGTCTGGGTGTTATGGAACGTGTTAGCATCAGGCCGAATAGTCCCGAGCGTAGGGGTGTACGTACCCGCAAGGGTGCCGGTCATGGCGCCGCCCTCAGGAAACACCATGGTTGCTGTCTCCTCATCGCTATCTATCTCCTCAACGACGTACTCTGCAGACGAGAGCGAATCAAAGTCCCACTTGACCAGGATCTCAGAGCTGTTAAGCTCATCTTCGATGTGCACGAACGAGTCGCGGGACGACTTCTTCTCGCGCCACACGAGGTAGCGACTGATGAGTTCCTTCAACGCGGTGGTGGGCGTAGTGCGGTGGAACTTGACAAACTTGGAACGGAGCAAGTCGTCGGCCATGAGGCGCTCCGCGGGGTTTTCGTCGAGACATAATGCGATGAACTCTTTGAGAAGCGCAGAGTACGCACGGCCCTCGAGCCGCGGCGGCTTCAGCTTGGTGATGAGCTGCATCGCGCGCATCGCGTCATACTCGCAGTACGGCGGGTTACCCGTCACAATTTCGTACGCGGTGATGCCGAGCGACCAGATGTCGGCCTTGACATTGTACGCAGTGCCCTCCATAATGACCTCCGGGGCCATCCAGTACGGCGTGCCGGCCATGGTGGTGCGCTTGAGCGCCTCGCTAGTAAGCTTGGCCGCGACGCCAAAGTCGCAGAGCTGTACACGTCCGTCACGCGCGACGAGCACGTTGGCAGACTTGATGTCGCGATGAATCACGCCCATGCTGTGCACGCTCTGGAGCGCGACTAAGAGCTCGCGCACAATCACTCCGAGGTATCGCTCTTCGATAGGGCCCGGTTTGAGCAACGTGCGGATCGACCCACCCGCGCAGTAGTCCATGATGATCCAGAGCTTCGTATCGTGGAGGTACGAGCCATAGTAGTGCGTCACATTAGGCACGTTGCGTAACTCCGCGAGGAACTGGATCTCCTGCTGCACGTCCTTAACTTCGTCCTCCTCCGTGTCAAGGTTGAGCACCTTGATCGCGACGATCTTCTTGCTCTTGTTGTGCACACCCTTATAGACTACCCCAAACTTCCCGCGGCCGATTACCTCCGTGCGTGTGTACACCTGGGTGACTTTATCGGGCATGGTGTGTAATTTGGTTCGATGACTGCGAGTGATGCGAGGCGACCGAAAGTGGGTTTAATAGGAAATGGGCTATTCAATAGATTACCGGATAGACCGTGGATGAAGACCAATAGGGATTCAAGGGTCTGGTAACTCAAAGGGTTTTAGGACCAGAAACAAAGATCGCAAGTGAATGTAGATCGCGGATACTCACAGAATATGGAGTGTAAAGCGATCGCACGCGCTAGAGAGCTCTAATAGTCTCTGAAGCTTTTGATTGGTATAGGCTTCGTGTTAATGATGTTGCAAGAATCCCAGGAATGCAAATTGGGCTGGTGGCGACGAAAACCTTAGCTATAGGACGGTGTAGTTGCAAAATGTACCGGAAGCTAAAGAGGCGAAGTCTGGGCGTGACAGCTAACTCTTCGCTATGAACCAATCGTCTCTAGGTGTTTTCGGCAACAGGGTATATGGAAGCTGGGTGACGGCCAAGGGGTCTCGAAACAGGTAAAACGCGTCTGGGGCGGCTCTGGAGCAGAAGAGGATCTAGTATGTGATCTGGCGTGTGTATATAAGCCGCTGGAAGAAAATTACTTTTGTCATCAGTGCAGGAGGAGGTTCCGCGTGGACCAGAGGTAGGAAAAAGCACTACGCGTATTTTGTACAAAATATATAGGTGCTTGATCCATTTTTATTAGTTCATTAGATATCGATGGCCGTAATCTCTGCAAACTGATACGTAGCTGTGGCAAGAGAGCGGGTGTGGATGATTTCTTGTGCTTGAAGGTTGGCAGGAGGCATACCTGCAGGCGGTAACTATTAGCATCTATGGTTGAAAATGCGTTTCATGATATTACAAAGATAGCGCCTTAGGAATACGAGCAGAGAGGATTCCACTAGGCAAAAAAAAAAAAAAAAAAAAAAATAAAAAAAAAAAAAAAAAAAAAAAAAAAAAAATACTACGCAAAGTATTCGGGCCGGAATCCCTTGCTATATACGGTCTACAGTATGGCCGCCTTGGTGTAGATAAAACAGTGACTGGATGTACTTGTTTAAGTCATCCGTGATTTTTTCTAACCCCCCAGATATCTTAACTTCGAGAATTGTATCGCTCCCTCTATATCACCAGTGGTAAACCCCTGTAACAGCCTCCAACATACTCATAACATACACCGTCTAAAACCTGTCATTCAAGAATTTTTCTGACCCCTTTTAACTATTCTAGGCAGGCCTTTGCCGTATTTCGTTCAAATTTTACAAGACAGATCACCCAAAATAATGTAAGGACCAACCGCATCCGGTATACGCAGTGGTCGTGCACGTGCCGCCGGGTAACTGCCGCGCTCACTGAATTTTTCACTTTAACACAACCTCAACCATACGATTAAGCACTAGTCGCAATCTCACCTATCTCTCCACCCCCAATGTCCGCCCCTGCTAACTTTGGCAGATTGTACAAGAATTCGAGATTGGCCCAAGTGGTCAAAACTCTCGACAACCCGCGCGCCAAGATCGACAAGTCTGTGCCGACCCGCCAGATCCTCTTTGCCAGCTCCGAGTCCTACAAGAACAGAAACTACGGCTTGAAATCGCGCTTGCCGGAGAACTGCCAGTCCAAGCACATCACCGTGGATGCCATCGAAACCTATGAGCGCATGGTGCCATACGAGGCTGCGCCTGGCTTCTACTACAAGCTTTTGCGCTTCCAGGAGTTCAACACTGCGCTTGTGACCCCGAACAAAAAGCAAAACCCGCTTTTTGGCGGCAAAACCTTCGATCCGGCCTCTGAAAAGCAGCAGGTCTCTGACCTCCTCCAGATCAGCAAGCCAGACCTCCCTGTGCGCAGAGCCGACAAACTTGCACAGGCTGTCAAGTACAACGCCGGCAACAAGGTTGGCTCCGGTGCCAAGGAATTCCGCCAGGAATACTTCCAGGCATTGTTGGCGCACGATCCGGCTGCCATTGTGCACAACAAGCACAACAACGCAAACGTGATGCAGGACACTATCGGTGCGATGCTCCATGCGAAGCGCGCAGCGGGCGAAAACGTGGGCAAGTACGCATCGCGCGCGGCCGCGCCCCAGGCCAAGAACGACTTCAAGCGCTACGCGCGCGACCCGAATGACATCTCCAAGTTCAAGGTTGCCGGGACCGCCGGGTTGTCGTACACGCTCAAGGGCAGATTGAGAAACACGCCAAACGGGATCGAAACCGCAGTCGTCAAGCCGGGCAGATTGCTCAAGCGCAATGCACGCGACATGATGGGCGGTGGCCGTACGACCGCCGCGTTGGGTGGCTTCATCGTCGACGTTGGTCAGTCCAGCGTCAGTTTGCAAAACCAGGCCGCAAGCAACATTCCAGGCATGCACAAGCACGAGGTTGCCGTACCGTTGAGAGTCGAGAGCGCATTCTTGCAGAGCGACGGGTCCGTGAAAATCCACACCGAGGGTGTGTCTAAGGCTGGTAGCGCTGGTGCGGGGAGATTCAGAAACAAGTTTGAAGAGATTTTGCTCAGAAGCAAGCCGAACAAGTCGGCTTCCAACAGAGTGAAGCAAATCTTGAAGATGTAAACGGCAGGAGGCTCAAGCGTCATCATCGACCGGCAAACCGTCGGCTGTTCATGTAAATATTACGATTCATTTTGAGCGAGCTTAATGTAGGTCATATCGGTCTCCCGGGTAGAATCCTAAACCTCTGAGTACTTGAGTAGCTATCCCAGGACTTGTTATTTTAGACCTGACAGTATATTTCCAGGCCATCGGGTGTCCGGTCCTGTATACATGGATTCACCTTAGACAACCCGTATTATTCTATGAATTATTGTCCTCGCTTATTCCAACCTGTTGGGGGAAATTGCTGTATCAATCAGTCTTAGGCTAACCTCTCATAATTTGTCATCTCGGTACTTCCCCCACCAGGATACTCCCCCCCTTACGTCATTACTGTCTATGTCGCCTTCTCGGGGCTAGGTCGTGCACGCCCTAAATGCCTTATCGATAAGAGTCACCGTGGTGATTCTGCAACTTTTTCACGAGCCATGGTCGAACTCCTCTTTCCTCTCTCTCTCAAACCACGCCCAATATGACCCGTTCTGCCGTTATCAGTCGTTCCACTAACGAAACAAAGATCCAGATCGCCCTTGCGCTTGATGGAGGCCCGCTCACGCTTACACAGTCCATCTTCCAGGACAAGGCGTATAATCACGACGGACCAGCTGCCCAGGCCACCAGCGCCCAGGTGATTGATGTCAACTCGGGGATCGGTTTCCTCGACCACATGCTTCACGCGCTTGCGAAGCACGCGGGCTGGTCGCTCATTGTTGAGTGCATTGGTGACCTCCATATTGACGACCACCACACCGCAGAGGACGTGGGTATTGCGCTTGGGCAGACGTTCTACCAGGCGTTGGGCCAGGTTAAGGGGGTGAAGCGTTTTGGGAGCGGGTTTGCTCCGTTGGACGAAGCACTCAGCAGAGCGGTAGTTGACTTGTCAAACCGTCCGTTCGCGGTCATCGAGCTCGGCTTGAAGCGTGAAATGCTCGGCCAGTTGAGCTGCGAAATGATTCCGCACGTGATGGAGAGTTTCGCACAGGGCGCGCACATCACCATGCATGTGGACTGCTTGCGCGGCACGAACGATCACCACCGCGCGGAGAGTGCGTTCAAGGCTTTGGCCGTCGCTATCAAGGAGGCCACCAGTAGCAATGGCACCAACGACGTGCCCTCTACTAAAGGGGTATTGTTTTAGGGAGCATCCAGGGATTCTTTAGAGAGCTATTTATTCCGTCGGTTACGGCGATAATGTATATAACCAGCAGACAGCTTTAAAAAAAACGCATCAATTCAAGGCTTGGCCATTAAATGTAAGTGAATTTCTCTGGCGAGAAATGCAAACGACACAGGTAAACTGCATTTATCAGGCACCACCTGAATTTCACTGTTATTTCCATAACGTAGAAACGCCTGTAGTCTCTGCTCCATGTACCCTAACACTTCACGGAAACACCTAGGCGTCTTCCTAGCTCTATCACCTTACACCTGGTTTATACACAAAGCTCGCCAATCCACCCTACACCTGGTTTATACCAATTAGTTATGCAACACCCTAGTCCGATTTTTATACAAACTTTCCCAATCTGCGAGTGTTCTTACTCACATCCAATTCCACCCGGTCGGCTTCCTCCTCCATCCTACGCAAGCGCTCGTTCTGCTTGTCCATCTCCTTGCCCATGATCTTGGCCTTGATGTTTAACTTGCTCACGATCTCGCTCACCTGCTCCAAGCCGTCGTCGATTTCTCCTTCCATCGCCTCGTCCTCCGAGTCGTTCTCGAACTGGTAGCGCTGGTAGTTGCGTCTACGCTCCGGCGCGGCGCTCGCAACGTCGCCCGTCTTCAGCTTGCCATCCAACCCGAGCCCAATGCGGTTCTGCGATTTGGCAATCTGCGCACGGTTGTGTTCCTGGGTGGCCTTCTGGTCCATGCGTCTGTTCAACCACTCCTCGTCCTCTCTTCTGCGACGGACCTTCCCGTTAAACGGATTCGTGGCCAAGGGCGTCAACATGCCCCTGTACTTGTTGATCTGGTTGATATGTTTTCCCAGCTCGTAGTTCTTCTGGTCCATCTTGCGCAAACTGTCCTCACTCTCGAAAATTCGCTCGCTCTGGCTCCCCATCATCCCGAGCGTGTTGTCCGCGGAGTTGAGCGCCTGCTGTCCCATGTGCACCATATTACGAGTCGACGACAAGGTCTGCTGCTTGGTGAACCGCATCTCCTGTTTGATCTGCTCAACCTCTTCTTCCTCTTCCATTTCCGCCTGTCTCTGCTGCTCTTCCTCCGGGTTGTAGTAGTTATCTGGGACGTCGTTCAAATCATCCTCTGGGTCCGCATTCAAATCAATGGAGGGCTCGTATCCGCCTGGGGCCGAAGCCGCGTACGGGTTTGCCCGGCTGGCGTTGGAGTACGGATTCGTCAGTCTCTGGTTATGCTGGAAGCTCGGATTCCGCGGAGGGTTATAGGCCTGTGGCTGAATGTTGACGTGTTGGGTATTGGCCTGTGGCTTTGGTGGCTGGGCTCTGGGGTTGAACGCCGCCGGCTGGCTATACCCACTGGGGGCATTTTGAGCAGAGGGATTGGCATACGGGTTGCTTGTCTGCGGCAGACCATTCTCATCGTTGACCGGCTCCTGAGCGTACGGGTTTGCCGGTGCATACGTCTTCTTCTCCTTCTGTTGCGCAAGCTCCCCGTAGGCGGCAAACTTCTGGGTCCGGCCACTGCCCACTACCGGCTCGAAGTTGTCCATTTCGGGCGCTCTCTTCTTGAACATGTTTTTGATACCCATGGCGGCTGTTTCTTTAGTTGGCTTTTATAGCAAATGATCTAAGGGGTACGATCTGAGCGGCTTGTAGTCGAAGGAATACGAATATAGAATGGCAAAAAGCACATCAGTGTGAAAGCTCGTATCAAGTTTTCTGTTGGTCCAGACGTGCGGCACAAGGCGGTGCGATAACCATCACGTGCACGACCACGTGGAGGGTCACGCATTCTGCACAACCGCAACGCCACCGCGACACTTGTGCGGCAAAAATCAACCCGAAAACATCGACATCACCTGAGATCCTCGTGATCCCTCTTTTTCCGTGGCTCACGTTTTTCACTTGTTATTGTTTTGTGTGTCTGTAACCAAAATACCGTGTCTCTGCATCCGGAATTGACACAACTGAACGTTTTTTTTTAGCGTAAGTGCTTACTGCGGGTGTGCGAGAATATCTTGAAGTGCCCCGTTGCCACATTATCCCCTCTATCACTTCTCTTTGCCACCGTTTCCCGTCGACCAACCGATACTAACGCGTCAGTCCATCCACCCATGAACAGAGGCCAAGATTCCCACAAGAGAGGCACCCACTCGGAAGAGGAGTCCCGCAAGAAGATGAAGTTGAAGGACGAATCAGATACCGCCGCATCTGCCATTGCTGCTGCTGCCGCCTTCACTGACGAACAGTCTGAAGAAAAGAAGGAGGAAGACAACCACCAGCAGATCACCGAGTTGGCGTCCATTGACTCTGAATTATTGTCCCAGCAGCCATCCTATGCTCAGCAGATGACGCCGCAGGACCAGCAGCTCGCGTACCAGCAGTTGTTACGCCAACAGCAGCACCACCAGCAGCTCCACCAGCAACAATCACCGCCAACCAGCCAGTCGCCTAGTGGGGCCCATACGCCGAACGTCGCGGCCAGCAACGCCAACGCCATCAACAGCACACACGCGGGCTCTAGTTTGACCCACGCGTCGCTCCAGATGAAGCCGGTGGCTGGAACCGACGAATGGCACAAGATCCGCCGTGACAACCACAAGGAGGTTGAGCGCCGTCGCCGTGAGAACATCAACTTGGGAATCCGCGAGATTTCTGGATTGCTTCCATTCCACGACAACAACAAAGCTGCTATCCTCCAGCGCGCGGTGGAGTACATCAAGCGCCTCAAGGAGAATGAAAACAACAACATCGAAAAGTGGACATTGGAGAAGTTGTTGACAGACCAGGCGGTGGCCGAGTTGAGTCACTCCAACGAAAAATTAAAGAAGGAATTGGAGAAGGCCTACAAGGAGTTGGAGCACTGGAAGCGGGCCTGCCACCAGCAGAACGAGGAGAAGAAGTAGCTGTGTTTTTATCTGTACTATATGTTTTCGGTTCGCCATTTTGGCCTTTTCTTCTTCTCTGTGTTACTTCATTCTTCTATAACTGTATCTAAATGTAGCGATAGGTTTGTTGAAAGAGCCATTCCGGGAGGACAAATCCGGGGTGGGTAGGTTTCGAATTCAAGCTTGTCTATACTCCAGAAACGAGTATCTACACTTTCCGTATCGAAGGGAACCGAAAGGTGCTTGGTTTATTTTATGGAAGAAATGTCAATAAAATCACTCGTAGCTCCCGGATGGGGCCTGCACATGCCTGCGTGTACAAAAGGTATTACGTAGGTCTAACCATCGAAGCTCCTAACCGAATCTTCAGGGCATTATTTATAGCCTATAGTCACCCGCTACGCCCCCACGGATGTTTCAACTTGTCAGCTCGCGAACCAGGCAAAATTCTTATGCCAGAGGTATCTAGAAACGTGCACACACGCCACGCGCGACACTTTTCTTTTTCTAAGGCTGGAGCCCACCGCCACAAGTTTTCGGCCAGGCTTTTTTTCCACGGCCAGCCACAGTTATATATACCAGGAGTGATCCGCCCTTTTACTTACACTCCCAATTGTCAAACATCCAATTTTGTCAATATGTGCAAGCCAATACAATGTCAAACCTGCCGTATGTTCCCACAAACGCACCCGATTCTCCTGCAGTACTAACCTTCATTAGTCCTTTCTACCTGGATCGGCTGCGGTCTCCACATCCCAACCGCCATGGCTGGCACCCCTAAGGCTAGCCGGTGCACCTGTGTCGATGCCACTACTGGTATTCAAGGTGAATTTCCACCAAAGTATGGTACCGGTGTGGCCAAGGCCTAAAATTGATGGCGATAACCAGATGAATTGGCCACTAGGGGAGTAAATTAGATTCTATCGGGTAGGTGAAAATGAGATGCGAGTCATGCTCTGAATCTTCCAAGCTTGTAGGAAAAAGGTAGCATAAAGTTGTTGTGAGCGTTGGTGCTTCTATGAGTCAACCGGTTTACTGATGACAATAGGAGAACCCCCACGGCGAGAGCCGAACTCGCAATCCTTTAATTAAAAGTCAAATACGTTGATTGTGCAGGCATCTGACGACCTACTCAACCCACGAAGAAAAATCTTGGATGTAGATTCTTTCAAAAGCAATCTGGAGAACAGTCACCGTGCTAAATGAGCCTCAACTGGTTTCCTCGGATGCCATTCGTTTGACATTTTTGTGGCATTTAAATTACACTCGTAGAGTTTTCCGAACAAACCTTGGGCGAACTAGCCTAGTGATATGCATGGCATATCGTCAATGAGCTTTGCTATAACAGCCGCCTGTATGGTACAATACGCCTGATTTCCTCACTCCGCGTTTGGTGTTTTGAAACTTTTGATTGAGTTTTCCTTCATTATATAAATGCAACATTATAGCCTCAAGACTGGATCCTACTCGGTAATACGTAATTCAGACCCGCTGTCATGAGGACCTAGCTATTCATATCTCTTAGTGCTCACGCTGGATGGCAGCTACTCGTAAACTCGGCCCTGAAAGCATAGATTAATATCACTCCGATTCAACCCAACAAGAGACTATAAAAACGCGTTTCTGGTGGGATATCTTCTCGCTTTAATTGGATGCAAACCTTGACTGCCGGCTGGAAGCCACGGGCTTTAGCAGCATTGAATATAGCATCCCTCTTTTACATTGTTCTAAGCCACCCCGGATGAACCATTCCGCCCACTTACGTATGCTCTTAACAAGAAACCAAGCACTCTTGTAACGAAAGTCAAGGCTAGTCATATACAACTTTTTTACAACTATTTTCGTTCTCTCTAGATTTGTCACAGATCTGCTGCGCCTCAGCCAAGAAACGATACAACGCGCTGCGACCAAGACTTTTATGTGCGTCGCGGACAGTTTTCGCGCCGCGGACTATTTTCGCGTCACGCCTACGTTGCTGAAACAAACTCACTCTATAATCGTCATCCCACTCTCACACTGTTGCGGACCAAAAACATGCTCCCAACCAGATGCACACCAGTCTCACCAGCTGCATCTCGTGTTTTAGGCGCCTTCTCTAAGATCTGAGAAACGTTAATCGACCCCGGGCTCGTGACCGTGCAGCCTCCCGTGCAGACTGAGTCTGCGTACAAGCAAGGGGACGCTTGGGGTTTGCAGCTCACAGATATATGTGCATATGTCCCGACCGGCCCAGGCGCTAGACGTGCCTCTCCTTGATTTAAGCGTCTGTATTTAGAAAAGCAAAACGAAGGAGCGTGTAGTGGTTTTGTTCTGCTAAAATCACTCTTCCACCTCTTTTCTCACGGCCATCGCATTTATTCTGCTACCCTCGTTTTATATTCCGTCAGCAGAAAGTAATTAGACCACAGAGAGTACTTGCTTCCAAGCCATTACGCCGAAATCACAATCCCCACCAGCCGTTAAAAGAAGCCAAATCTGACCTGAAACACTGAGCCTATCACAATCCTCGGACCTCTTCTGCTCCTAGCCGTCTCTGCTATTCCCGCCTCTACCAACTTAGCTCGTCATGGCCAGAGATTTAACCCATAACCGTGGTGGCTACGCGTACCCGACGGCCGACACGCCGCCACCAGAAAACCCGTTTGAGTCCGAGCACTACTACTCGTCTTCGCACTCGTCTGAAGGCTCGCGCCAGCAGTACGACCCCAACCCTGGCCAGGCCTTACTCTCGCACAACTCCTCCGAGTCATTCCAGGGCAGACCCACCCGCGGCTACACCTACATACCCGGGACATCTACTACGACCCACCGTGACAATCACCCGTTTACTCCGCCTGAGTACGACCGCTATCCGTCCCGTGGAAACTCGCGAGTTACGTCGCAGCAGTCGGTTGGCTCGGCCTCCTATATTGCCGGCGTCGCGCCCCGGACCCGCGGCGACTCGTTTACCGACTCGCTGTCCTCGAGCCACCGACAGTCGTTCTTTGAAAATGGGGACGTGGACTTCTCTCCGTTCGGTGGCTACCCCGCGCTGGCCTTTCCCCTCCACATCGATGAAAAAGAGGAAGATGACTACCTCCACAACCCGGACCCCATTGCGGATGCAGAGTACGACAAGAACCGCTTCAAGTACGACATGAAGCACTTGGATCGCCGGTCCTTGTGCGGTCTCCTCGGTTTCATTGTCCTCGCTCTCGGTGCGCTCTGTCTTTTCGTGCTCTATCCGGTCTTGACCTACTCGGGCGTGCTCGACCCGTGGAAACCCCAGTCGTATGTCATTCTCAGCGATTACAAGTATCCGACGCTCGCAGCTATTCGCACCCTGCTCGTCGACCCAGATACGCCTACAGAATACCTTACTCGCACGGCAGATGACGGCTCCGACTGGAATTTGGTTTTTTCTGACGAGTTTAATGCGGAAGGGCGTACCTTCTACGAAGGCGACGACCAGTTCTGGTACGCTCCAGACTTTAATTATGCTGCCACAAAGGATTTAGAGTGGTACGATCCTGATGCCGTCGCCACCGCCAACGGGACGCTTCAGTTCACATTGGACGCTTTCGAGAACCACAACTTGATGTATCGGTCCGGGATGCTACACTCGTGGAATAAGATGTGTTTCACGCAAGGGATCATGGAGGTTTCTATTCGGCTCCCCAACTATGGATTCGTTTCCGGCTTGTGGCCGGGTGCGTGGACGTTGGGGAACTTGGGCAGACCTGGTTATATGGCCACTACCGAAGGTGTGTGGCCATACTCCTACCAGTCATGTGACGCCGGCATCACCGCCAACCAGTCGTCTCCCGACGGTATCTCCTACCTCCCAGGCCAAAAGTTAAATGCGTGTACCTGCAACGGCGGTGACCACCCGAACAAGGGGGTTGGGAGAGGTGCCCCGGAGATTGATGTCATCGAGGCCGCCATGGATACCAAGTTGGGGGTGGGGGTGGCCTCGCAGTCGGTCCAGATTGCCCCCTTTGATATCTGGTACATGCCGGACTATAACCAGATTGAGGTGTACAACTTCCTGGTGACGAATATGAATACTTACGCCGGGGGGCCGTTCCAGCAGGCTGTTTCGGGTGTGACTACCTTGAATGTGGATTGGTACGAGCGTTCACGCTCGGGTATCAACAACTTCCAGAACTACGCGTTTGAGTATTTGAACGATCCAAACACTGGCTACATCAAGTGGTTTGTGGGGAATGACCCGACGTTTAAGGTCGTTTCCAACGCGTTTGCGCCGAATGGGAACATCGGCTGGAGACCGATCCTGAAGGAGCCAATGTCATTGGTGGTGAATTTGGGGCTCAGTAACAGTTGGGCGTATATCGACTGGGGTCTGCTCAAGTTTCCCATGGTGATGGAGATCGACTACGTGAGAGTTTACCAGCCGGCAAACGCAACGAATATTGGGTGTGATCCCGTAGGATACCCGACGTCAAATTACATCCAACAACATCTCAACGCCTACTCAGACTACAACTTGACGTCGTGGGAAATGGCTGGGTATACTTTCCCGAAGAACCGGCTCACCGGGTGCTAGACTGTTGTGAAACTCGGTCAAAATTTGTGTGGTAGCACAAGCAGTGCACCCGCTCAGTTTGTCTTTTAGATCTGTATGTGATATAACAGTGTATGGAAATGTTATTGTGATGCAAGTTTAATTTGTCAGATATAGATTAAGCTTCGTATATGTAAAATTATATATATATATTAATGTTGCATATACGTATGTATTGGTATATTGTAATATAATTCACACGTATATTCACAGTAACAACTTTAAAATTACCCCCTGTAATCAATAAAAGTCTGCCTTCGATTCCTGTCCCGCAGGGGGGAACCACAAATCATCCATAATTGTCAGCAATCCTTCCGGATCACCTTTCCTGGTTTGTCATACTGTCCAATATTCTTTAGATACTCTTCTTGGCCTTTTCCTCGGCGGCACCCTTCATCTTGGACTCTCTGTCTTGCTTGGCTAGAGCGCCCGACTCGGTCTGCATGACGTAGTCCCAGAATCTGAAAGATGAAGCATAGTTACCAATAAAATAGCGGTGGTGATCGTCATGGTGATCTGCACCGGCCCAGAAAGGCAAGAAGTGGTGCAAGGACCATGGGAATTCGTAGCCAGAATGTGCGTCAACTCCTTGCAACAATCTCCCGGTGACCCAGATACAGACAGTGAACAAATGCAAGTTGCCAGTGAGCAAGACAAAAATGATAGGAAACCCAGCGGTACCGAAAAATAGCACCATGGCCTCAACCGGATGGGCGTATTCGGTAGCGAGTCCGAACGGCGCGGCGTATCTATGGTGCTTCTTGTGGATCATCTTGTACAAAGCCCCGTAGTGCATCGCCCTGTGAGTCCAATAGTGCCAGGTGTCCTCCAATACATAAAACATGGCGACTTGCCAGGCTACGGTTGCTATGGGTGGGATCGGCAACTGGCATGAAATCCCGGCCCTAAGGACCCAAGGGTGTAACAACCAGATAGGGACCGCTTCCATAAGGAAATGAGAGACCAAAACCGACTTCAAGCATTCCCAGTGCTCCTGGTTGGATGGCATCTTGGCGCTCTGGATTTTCCAGCGGTTAAAGTACGGAATGCGGTCGACGATGAACCACGGCAAGCAGCGGCCAAAGTACACAGCTTCGTGGATAGTGAAAAGGAGGAGCCCCGTAGCGAGAATGTCATTGCCAATCCACGTGTAGTAAGACGCCCATAACTTTTCCGTCCAGCTCAAGCCCGCCAAGCCAGACACGGCGGCATAGGTTCGTAGAAAAGTAGGGCTGGTCGCATTCATGGAAACAGCAGTCACTTGGAAGCCAAAGTGCACGGAATTGTCAAACACACTAGACATGTTGAAACGAGATGTATGATGGGTGAAGTGGGCGGTCAAGAAGAGGAGGAATTGTAATCTGTTTTGTACAGGGGTATTGTGGTAACATAAAGGATATTTTTAACGGAGCTACTCTGAAGAAACGGATACAAAGTATGACCCGTGACGCATGACCTGCAATCATATGCAATTATAAGGTTAAGCATGTGATTTTATAAGGTTGAACATGTTCTATTACAAAAGTGAAATGTGTCGGAACATTGAGACGTGTTAGCAAACAAAGATAAGATCGATTTTTATTTGAGGAGTCGAATCCTTAATAGGTTATAGGTCTAAAAATATTTTTAATCTCGGTTTATTTTACGACAAGAACATAATCATTCGGTGCTCCCTATATAATGAATTGATTCCCCAGTCAAGAATCCTTGATTTGTAACTCTTAGTGTAAGTGTACGTCACACCAATGGGTCAAACTTTTACCACAGTCTTTTTGATCAGGCACGTGCAACAATGTTCATTCTCTCATGATAATACGTTTCGGCATAATGGCCGAGTGGTTAAGGCGAAAGACTTGAAATCTTTTGGGCTCTGCCCGCGCAGGTTCGAACCCTGCTTATGTCGATATATTTTTTCGCGTCTCACACCCCTATGCCGGGTAACACCATTCCCCATACTAACACGATGGCGCTCTCCTTAACTGTAACGGGACGCTTGCCATCCATACTTCCCAGGCCCGAGCCGTATTAAGATTGCCGCAAAGAGTAGTTAAAATTTAGTCAGTCGATCTTCATTCGGAATATTTGGAACCATTTTTGCCCCAGTCACATAGTAAGTATATTTCAACGTCTCCGATGGATCTGCGTTACAGGTAACCGAGCCGCCCTTGCGATAACCGAGCCAGCCCTGTGTGTTGCAATTGTCGGACTTGACTCGACAGACAATTGAATTGATTGCATTCAATGCCATTGATTGTCATTAATTATCATTGATTCCATTGATTGCCACTGGCTGCTATTGATTCCATCGAGAAGCGCTTTCGTGGCTATGCTCAACCGATTGATTCTTCACCCAGCTACATACTAACGCACAGACATGGACTATACGCGGAAGCTAGACATTCCTGAAGATAGCTCCTCGGAGGAGGAACAATCAGAGAGCGCACGCGCAGCTGCGCATGCGGACCTCCCTACCAACTATGCTGCGAACCTCGCCAAGCTCTACGATATGAACGACGAGATTGTGGCCGAGACACACCACACCTGGGAGATTGCGGATTGGCGCGGCTTCAAAGATAACCGCATCGTCGGGCCAACTTTCCGTTGCGGCGACTTTGACTTCAACTTGTTGATCTTCCCGTTGGGCAACAACAGCAACAACGTTGCGGTGTATCTCGAACCACACCCGCCGTGTATAACCGCTGAAAAGGAGGATGGTACGGTAGAACGGACGCCGGTGGACCCGAACTGGCACTGCTGCGCGCAGTTTGCAATCGACATGTGGAACCCGGACGTACCGGCTGCGCGCATCTTCAGCCAGAGCCACCACCGGTTCCTGAAGAGTGCCACAGACTGGGGCTTCTCCAGCTTCGTGGGTATCCAGCAGCTCAACTCGAACTGGAAGGCCACGGGCGCGCCGCTTGTGTCGCGCAGCCGCGTGAACATCACGACGTACGTGCGGGTCTTGCGGGACACCACGGGGGTGCTCTGGCACGACTTTGTGGACTATGATTCCAAAAAGGAGACAGGGTTTGTCGGAATCCTCAACCAGGGTGCCACGTGCTACCTCAACTCGCTTCTTCAGTCGTACTTCTTTACCAAGGTGTTCCGCCAGAAGGTGTACGCGATTCCCACCGCTCACGACACACCCAACAGCCACGGCACGTTTCCGCTTGCGGTATCGCTTCAGCGGGCGTTCTACAAGTTGCAGAAGGCGTGTGAGCCGATCAGCACCAGCGAGCTCACCTCGGCGTTCGGCTGGACGTCACTCGACGCGTTCACCCAGCACGACGTGCAGGAATTGAACCGCATCCTTATGGACAAGCTCGAGGCGCGGATGAAGGGGACCCCGATCGAGGGCTGCTTGACCGATATTTTTGTCGGCAAGATGAAGTCATACATCAAATGCGTGGACGTAGACTACGAGAGCGTGCGTGTGGAGGACTTCTGGGATATCCAGTTGAATGTAAAAAATACCGCGAGCCTTGCGCGCGCGTTTGAGAACTATATCGAGGTGGAAATGCTCGAGGGCGACAACCAGTACGACGCGTCGGGAATCGGCTTGCAGGACGCCAAGAAGGGAGTGGTATTTGAGTCGTTTCCGCCGGTGTTGCACCTCCAGTTGAAGCGCTTTGAGTACGACTTTGTGAACGACCGGCTCGTAAAGATCAACGACCGCTACGAGTTTCCCGAGTCGATCGACTTAAAGCCGTACCTCGACGCGGAGTCCGAGGGCTATGAGGAGGACTGGGACTACCAGCTCCACGGTGTGTTGATCCATCTGGGAGACTTCTCGTCCGGTCACTATTACGCGATGCTCCGTCCGTCGCTCGCTGATGAGTGGTACCGCTTTGACGATGATCGTGTGTTCCGCGCCACCAAGCGCCAGGTGTTTGATGAAAATTTTGGCGTCGACGTGAAACCCAACGCGGATTTGGCCAAGTTGACCCGTCACGAGTACCAGGAGTACCAGAACCAGCGGTTCACCAACGCGTACATGTTGGTGTACGTGCGCAAGGCCAAGTTGGCCGAGGTCATGGTCGAGGTGGAGGACGCTGATATTCCTTTGAACGTGTCGCGCACTATCGAGAGCGAGCTCCGCGAGCAGGAGCGTGTTACCAGAGAGAAGCAGGAACAACACTTGTATGCACGCTTGAACGTGTTCACTACCGGCAGCTTCCAGCACTACCAGGGCTACGAGATGGGGCCCACGCTCGTGCACCAGAAGTTGTTCCACGACGAGTTGTACGCGAAAGAGTCGTTTCCGTGGCACGTGCGGGTGTTGAAAACCGATACGGTGGCGTCCGTGGCCGCTCAGATCGCTGAGAACTTTGGCTTGGATCCAACGCAGTTTCGCTTGTGGACAATGGTCCATCGCCGCAACGCCACCGTTCGTCCGGACATTCCTGTGGATATGGAGCAGACGATTGGCGCATTGCAGGCGTCGAAGCTCGAGCTCAATCTCTGGGTGGAAGAGAAAAATAAGGAGCTTCATGTGGTGAAGGGCCTGGGAAATCTGGTTGGGGCGTCTCTTACCAAGACATTTGCTCAGCTTCCACCCACTGACGTTCTGTTCGCGACAGTCTCCGATGATTCCGACGACGTTGTGGTGTTGCTCAAATACTTTGACGTGAAGAACCAGCGGCTCACGGGGTTGACCCATGCAGTGGTGAACAAGTACAGTGTGATTGGGTCGCTTATTCCGTTGGTAAACCGGCTTTTAGGGAACGACCCATTCACGAAGCTCAGCGTGTACGAAGAGTTGCAGGTGGGATCTATTGACGCGCACAAACTGGAGGCTACATTTTACACGAGTGAGGTGGGTAGTGGGGATATTCTTGTACTTCAGCAGGAACTTCCTGGAGAATCTGAAGATTCTAGGCAACATGAAAAGAGCCTTGACGGGCCTGGGTTCTACACCACCGCCATTGACTTTTACAACTTCTTGCTCTTCCGCACGCAATTCTCCATGCGCCCCAAGTCTGCCAGTGACGACGATGCAATGGTCATCAGCGATGGTGCGCCGGCCAGTGCCACAAAGTTTGACTTCTGGTGCTCCAGCAAGGCGCCATATGCGGAGTTTGCCGGCTACGTGGCTCGCAAGATTGGCGCCGATCCCGACTACCTCCGGTTCTTCGCAGTGGGCTATGACGGATCTAAGGTACCTCTCGGCTCTGGTGCCGCGCTCAGTTCTATTCTTCTGAAACACGTCCCCGCGTACCAGAGCGTCACATTTGAATACGAGACGTTGCCGATCCCACTCGCGGACTACGAACACAAGCGTGCCGTCACGGTGCACTGGCTCCAGGGCGGCATCGTTCACGACACTGTATATGAGCTTTTAGTGCCGGTTAGCAGCACAGTCACGGACGTGATTCACGGTGTACAGACGGCCGTCGGTTTCGAGAACGAAGCTGTGGCAGATGTATTGGTGTGGGCTGCGTTTGATCACAAGTTCGTGGAGTTGCTTCCGGGCGAGAGACCGCTTAGCCAGATCACGGACACGTTGCTGATCTACTGCGGAATCTTTCCACAGGAGGCGGATATCTTGGGCCGCCAGGCGTCGGATGACGTGGAGGTGGTTGAGTTGCGCCACCCCCAGGAGCCCGCGTACGAGCGCTTCGAGTTGGCTCAGATCCGTCTTATCACTGCGTTTCAGTACAACAAGGATGCGCGTCGGACCCACGGTGCGCCGTTCATCTTCATCTTAGTCAAGGGCGAGCCGTTCAGTAAGACCAAGCAGAGATTGCAGCAGTTGACCGACATCCCCGAGGCCGATTTCCTCAAGAAGGTGAAGGTAACCACGTGCACGAAGCATGGGTCTGTAAGGCTCAGTGTTGAGACGGCAGATCTGGCCCGGGATGCACTTGTGTTATACGACGAGATCCACGAGGATGAATTCTTGTGTCTTGACCATCCTGAGAGGGCTCCCCGCCGTGCCTCTGGGTTTGAAAAGCCGATTGTCGTATCTTAGATTTGACCTTTAGTGTTAGGAGCCTCGAATTCCTCGCAAGTTCTTTGCCGGAGGCCTTTGCTTTTTTTTTTTTGCTTTTCCAATAGATTTTCGACATTTTAGGAACCTTGCAATAAAGGTGCCATTTAACTAGATGGAAGTCGGCGCTCATTATCTCGTTACCTCCGATAGGCGGACACCCTAGCATCGTATTCGCCTCAGTATATAAGGCCACTAACTACCCTTGGACTGGACAACCTATCGCAAAAATCAACGCCTCTTAGATGATATATCCCAAACTTATCTCGGACCCAAACTGGGGCTAACTTCACCAAGAGTGTTGAGGTCACCACCCCTATCTTACACAGTATACTACAGCTACCCTGCAGCATGAGCCACACGGTAGTACCTTCCAAAAACTGGAAGGAAAAAGTACGCCCAGACCAGAGTAGTATGAATACACAATATAGCTCCAGAGATAAAACAGTTAGCTCCAAAAAAAAAAACGAGGGACGGCCAATGTCCTAAAATCTGATAAAGAAATAGCCCAAGAATGCAGCGTTAAAGTTTATAATATAGAGAACTAATAGACGACTGAAGCATGTGCTCCTAAGACCTCTTACTATGTGCCTAAAATATCATGCCAACAAGTGCGACATCCCGGCCCCATTTGTAAGCAAAATGGCGTGTTGCTGTAGTCGTTTCCCCCGGTCGATTCCCTCCGTAATGAATAAGCTTAAAATAAGCAAGCTGAATAAGTGTCCCTGGTGATGGACCAATAACCCACTAGTTGTATTAATATACACTCGGAGAGCACACCCTTTGGGTACTAATTGTAACTAATTTCTGTCGTATAAAGCCGGGTCTTAGCTCGTTTCAGATGTAATGCATGTTTATTATTTACCCACGCATGCCGGACACCACCGACTTACGGTCAGAATAAGCCGCGATCTGCGAAGCTCAGCACAAGCCTCCGGTATTTTGGCCCCACGAAACTGGCTTATTATAGTACCAACTATGGTGATTGGTACTCCATAATATAGGTGTTATTAATAGACTATATTCAGCTCTTCAGTCATGGATCTCCCCTCCCAGCATCTTTGAATGGTCATTCCGTAATCAAACGGTCGGGGACCCCTCTAGCAGATATTCCCCTTGGAATTTGAAATATCCCTGGCCATGCAGCGCTTCTAGTGAGACTGCTGTCGGCACCATTGTCGGACATGGATCGGGGCCGCATGCGTCTGGATGGTCCCAGGCGCAGCACTCTTGTCCTATATATAGCCAACCGTAAGATTCGCCGCATATGATTGGTCAGCGCCAATTCTCTGTTGCCTGTTTCCTCCATACTCATCCCACGTTATCGCCTCTATATACCTTAGTCCTTATTCCAGATCAGAAACGCGCATAGCGCAGTGGTAAGCCTTTTCCTATAAATAGCTTAGTGTGCAGCACGTATTTACCTTTTTCCCGATGCAGAAAAACTCCTTGCATGCTGCATGAAATTTTAGCAAGGTAGCGAGGTTTATAAGGCAGCACATTCGCCGTATTTGGGACCGCGCTTGGCAAACCTTTGTTTGCTCCTTAGACTCCGACAATGAGCTTTAACCGCAACAACTACAACCTGTTGGGGGGGGAAGATGATATCGAGCCCTCTACCATACCTTCGCTTCCACAATCTGCTTACCAGTCGCACACCAGGAACGAGTCTGTCTCTGACGTGGCGTCGCCTAGAAGGGGCGTGACGTTCCAGCGCAACAACTACCAGGTACCACAGTACCCACGATACGATTCGCAGTACTCGCATAACCGCAGCCCATCGAACCAACCCCACACTTCGTACATGGAGGACGCCCCGTTGTACGCCGACGAGATGGCGTTCCGTGAGTTTGAGCCGGTCACAGTTCCGCTCCGAGACATTCCACACGGTGGGCCAATACCGCAGTCTCATTCTTCCCAGGACACGGTCTTTGAGTCCAATCAGGGCAGCAAGTTTGGCTTCGAAGAGTCGCCGTTCGACGACGACTACCAGTACAACCCCGAAAACTACGACGCCGAGCATGGCTTTGACTTCAACGACCAGCGCAATCTGCGGATGTCGTACTACGCCGCGGGAGACGACTACAACGTAAACGTGTTGGAGGATATCGACGACGGCCACACGCCACAGTACATCGATGACGATGAGGAGTCCTTGTTTTCAATCTCGATGTACCATCCGGGGGACGAATTCAACGATTCCTACCAGGAAGGCGACGTGCTCGGGAAGGGCCTCCACAGACGGGCAACGACGCTCACGCGGAAGAAGACGTTCCAGACGAGAAACCTCACGGAGGCGCCGAAGATGCGCTACACAAAGACGATCAAAAAGGCAAAGCTCATCAACGGGAACTTTGTCTTGGACTGTCCCGTCCCCAAGACGCTCATTGACACCTACGGACTGGCGAAGAACGGAGGAAGCGGTGCGTCGCGGGAGTTTGGGTTCATGCGCTACCAAGCGGTCACGTGTGGGCCGTCCAACTTCCTGTCCTTCAGTTTCGACGTTCGTCAGAACATGTACACGCCTCAGCGGCCGACGGAGATCCTTATCTGCATCACCATGTATAACGAAGACGATGTTTTACTCGGGAAAACGCTCAAGGGTGTGTTTGAAAACATTGAATACTTGTGTCTGCTCAATAACTCAGCCACATGGGGTCCCGATGCGTGGCGCAAAATTGTCGTGTGCATTGTGGCTGATGGGCGTGTGAACTTGAACCCGCGCACGCAGGCGTTGCTCGCATCGCTCGGGTGCTACCAGGACGGGTTTGCCAAATCCAAGATCAATGAAAAAAATGTCAAGGCGCATGTCTACGAGTACACGACCCCCGTAGGCATCCACTCAATCAATGACCGCGTGCATTTGGAGCCGGCCCGCAACCCCGTTCAGCTTTTGTTCTGCTTGAAGGAAAAGAATGCGAAAAAAATCAACTCCCATCGTTGGGCGTTTCAGGCGTTCTGCCCCCTTATCGAGCCAAAGATCGTGGTGCTCTTGGACACGGGTACGCAGCCTTCGCGGAAATCGATCTACCACTTGTGGCGTGCGTTCAATGACGAAAACGTCGCGGGTGCGTGTGGCGAGATCAAGGCCGCGCTCGGGCCCGGCAACCGCTTGCTCCTCAACCCGTTGGTGGCGGCGCAGAACTTTGAATACAAGATTTCCAACATCTTGGATAAGCCGATGGAATCAGCGTTTGGGTTTATTTCCGTGCTTCCCGGTGCCTTTTCTGCGTACCGCTATCGCGAGTTGTTGAACGACGACAAGGGGAAAGGGCCGTTGGAGAAATACTTCAAGGGAGAGTTTTTGCACGAGGGGGCTCAACCGGAAGAGGATGACGATGAAAAGATGTTGAAGGATCGAAACTACGAGGAAGGTGGGATCTTCACTTCCAACATGTATCTCGCGGAGGATAGAATCTTGTGCTACGAGCTTGTTGCTAAGCGCAAGAGGTCGAACGTGTTGCGGTATGTCAAGGCCGCTTCGGCTGAAACGGACGTTCCAGAGGCTCTCGATGAGTGGATTCTCCAGCGCCGGAGATGGCTCAACGGCTCGTTTTTCGCAGCTACGTACTCCATTGTGCACTTTCACAAGATTTGGATCACACGCCATTCGTTACTCAGCAAGCTCATGTTCCAGGTCCAGTTCTTCTACCAGGTAGTGTCGCTTCTCGTGTCCTGGTTCTCGCTTGGCTCCTTTTTCCTCGTGTTCCGCATCTTGACCGCGAATTTGGGCGAGTCCGACATGCACTTTTCTGTGGGCAAGTACCTCGCGATGATCTTCCTTTGGCTCTATATCGGGTCGGTGGTTTCCTCTTTTGTGTTGTCCTTCGGGAACAAGCCGCGCGGGACAAAAAAGTTCTACATGATAATTGTCTGCGTCTTTGCTGTGCTCATGGCGTACATGATCTTTGCGGCGGTGTACCTCGCGATATACGCGGTCAAAAGCGTTGTTGACAGCCCTGACACTATTACGTTCATGTATCTCTTCAAAAACGAGCGTTTCCGTGACTTAGTCATCTCGTTGGCCTCCACCTACGCGCTCTACTTCGCGGCATCCTTCATCTACGGTCAGCCGGCTCACATGTTCACCTCCTTTGTCCAGTACCTCTTGCTTTCCCCGGCGTACATCAACGTGCTTAACATTTACTCCTTCTGCAACATCAACGATGTTTCCTGGGGTACCCGTGGCGAGGCGTCCGCGAAGGACTTAGGGACTGCGCGCATCAGTGAAAAGTCCGGCGAGTTGGTCACCATCGCGCCCGCGTTCCAAGCCGAGATCGAGGACGCGTACACGACCCATTTGGAGTCCTTGAACACGTCGCCGCCATCGGTTGTGATCATCCCTGCCGCCCGAAAGCTCCGTGACGATGACTACTATGCCATGGTGCGGTCTGCCACCGTGTTGGCCTGGATGGTTACGAATGGGATCCTCATTATCATCGTTCTCCAGACCGGCGGTATTGATGCCTTGACCAATGGCAAAACTACCACCACTAACACCAGTAACACTCAGATCTTTTTAACGATCATCTTGTGGATTGTCGCCTTTTTGGCTGTGTTCCGTTTCATTGGCTGTATTGTGTATTTGCTCTTTGGCGCGGCCAGACCGTTGAAGTGGAGGTTGAAGGCGCGTTTCCGCAAGCGTGAAGTACTTTCATAAGTGAAATAATCTTAATTGCATTGGTTTTAGAACAAAATTTAGAATAAAACTTAAAACAAAATTTGGGTTGGGTAAGGCGGGGCGAATTTGAGGGGGACCGGGGACTAATTCGGACAAGTTTGGTATTGACATTCTCAGTTTGGTGTTTGTGAAATGTGCGAGGTAGTGGCATGAGGCAAGGTTAGAGTTGGCTGAGAGTTTTGGATGCACACGTCAAATATAATTCAACTAGATACCCTAGGCTGTAAGCGGTAACGGACATTCGCTTCTCGGGCTCACACGACAAACTATTTCTTCTCCTTCCTTTTGAGATGAATCCTCTGTCTGATTGCTGTACTACTGAGCTTGGTGGAGAAATCCTCGTTCTGGGTCCCACCTGGCGTGATGACCCCGATTTCCACAATCGATAACGAATGCATGCCCTTCTTCAGTCTGAAGTCATTAACAAACTTGCCTCCTGCTCTGGTCTCGGCACTGATCACCAACGCGTCAATATCCTCGAGATAGCCGGTGGGCCCGCAGATATCCTCGATCATGTAGATGTCCACGCTTAAAGCCTCTATCCGGTCACCACTCTTGGGGAGGAGTCGGGCTACAAACTCGCGGATAATTCGCACACGATCTTCGTACGATTCTAGCTCTTCCGCGTATTTCTTATTCACGAGGAGCTTTGGACCAGTAACCCCTACAATCAAGGTTTTGCGCGCGAGAAACAACGACTGCGAGAGAAGAATCTTGTGACCTTCGTGAAGATGATCAAAGGTCCCACCAACAGCCACTGTGTCAAAGTTTCCCATTGGAAGGTCTTCCACTTTTTGACTCGAGGTCGCAAACGTGATCTGAGCTAACCCTTCGGACGAAGCTACAAGCTTCACGCCCCTGCTTTGAGGCACAAGTCCCTGCTCACAGTCCAAACTGACCACCACATCGTAGGTCTGTACGTCTATCTGGTTGAATAAAACAGCACAATCCAAATCGTGCCGAGAAAGGCTATGGGTGCTTCCATAGATGTGGTTGAGGAGGTTGTCCACGTCGGGCAAGCGGAGGTCAGCGACGAGTAGGATGTCTATGGATGCTCCGACCGCCAAGGTTGGCACCACAAGCTTCAAAGACGAGTCAGTAGAATATTTTCCCGTGGAAACAATCAATGCAGAAGTGTAGCTCATAGGGTTGTGGTGATTGGCCAGGACTTTTCAGTGAGGAGTAGCGGGGCAAACTTGTAGGCGCAGATAATGATATCCTGCAGAGACGAGAGGGGCCCTAGAGCACGTGATGATTTAGGAGAGATAAGTGAAAGGGTTTTGAAAGAGAGTATTTTAATGTGATGTTAAGGTTATGAGCTGATAAATACCATATTCTTCGTACTTATACATCTAACGCCATCATAAAGCTTTAAGTAATGAAGATTAGCGATGGTTATGGCTGTCAATTTGCCATTAGAATACGGCTAGTCTCGAGCTCTGCCATATACTGAATCCACCCCTTAAACTTGAAACTTGAAATCAATCTCCAGATTTTCAGGTGTCTCCCATAGATACTCACTAAAGTACACCTATTAAAACTTACAATCTAACACCCACACAAAATCACATCTCTACCGCAAAATACCCCAACAATATCACTTCTCCATAGTCCTAACTCATTCGCGCAACATGCAGTCCTTAGGTATCCTGTACGGTGCATAAATTTTATCAATATAAAACATGTCGGCCATAAACATTCTCTTACTCCTCACACATCTCACACCATCTAATGGAGGAAAATACAACGGACAACACTGAGTACGCCCACTTGGTGGAACTCAGGGCGAGTGGTATCTATGTTCCGCCCGCGAAGCTCCAGCTGTTGCTCTCAAACGCGCAATTCTCGCCATCCTCCAAGGAATACCAGAAGATTGAATGGGAGAGGCTTAAGAAGGCAATCAACGGGTTGGTCAACAAGGCAAATATAGGCAACGTCAGATCCATCGTAGTAGACTTGTTCCGGCTCAACTTGACTCGCGCGCGTGGGCACTTGCTCAAAGCGCTCATGCGCGCACAGGGCGGGGCGGCACTGTTCACTCCGGTGTACGCGGCACTCGCAGCGGTGCTCAATTCGAAGATTCCTGAAATCGGGGAACTACTCGTCAGCCGGTTGGTGCTTCAATTTCGCCGCGGCTTCAAGCGCAACAACAAGGCGCTTTGCCAGTCGGCGACCGCTTTCCTCGCGCACTTGGTCAACCAGCAGGTGGCCCACGAGGTGGTGGCCTTGCAGCTCGTCCATTTACTCCTTTCTACGCCGACGAACGACTCGGTGGAGATTGCGGTGGGGGTTGTGACAGAAGTGGGCGCGTTTTTGGCCGACGCGGCGCCCAAGCCCAACGCCGGGGTCTTCGACCGACTCCGCACCATTCTCCACGAGGGCTTGATCGACAAGCGGGTGCAATACTTGGTCGAGGTGTTGTTCCAACAGAGACGTGACGGCTATCCGGGTCATCCCGTGGTTCCGAAGGAACTAGACTTGGTGGATGAGACGGAACAGAACACACACGTGATTGGCTTGGACGACGAATTGAAGGCCTGCGATCACTTAAATGTATTTCAGTATGACGAAGAGTATGAGAAGAACGAGGAGGTTTACGCCGGTTTGAGGAGGGAGATTCTCGGGGATGAAGAGGAAGAAGAGGAAGAAGAGGAAGAAGAGGAAGAAGCGGAGGCTGTCCCAGATTTGGTACAAATCACAGACTTGACCGCCACAAATGTCACCAACTTCCGCAAAACTATATATCTCACTTTTCAAAACTCATCCTCTTCCGAAGAAGCAGTGCATAAGTTGTTACGCTTGACGCGGAGCAGCCGGATAAAAGACCAGGAATCACTTGTGGTGGATATGCTCGTCAAGTCATGCTCGAATGAGAAAACATACTCCAAGTTTCTCGGGGTTACGGGCGAGCTCTTGTGTGCCCACAACCGGTACTGGGAAAAGGCCTGTGAGGAAAACTTTGCGGTCTATTACGAGTCCATCCACCGATACAATACCAACCAGTTGCGTAACATTGCACGCTTCTGGGGTCATTTGCTTGCCAGTGACAAGCTCCGTTGGGAGGTGTTGCAGGGGATCAAGTTGACGGAAGAGGATACCACCCCTGCCGGCAGAGTCTTTATCAAATTTGTGTTTGGTGAGTTGGTGAGCGAGATGGGCGTTCCGCTCTTGCGCGCGCGCTTGTGCGAGCCGTACATTCAGCCATATATTTCGGGCATGTTTCCAAAGGAAGGAAAGAGCCATGTCATATTCTGCATCAACTTTTTTACCGCGATTGGGCTCGGGGTTGTGACAGAGGAGATGCGCGAGCTTTTGCCAACATTGCAGGAAGAGGTCAGGGGGAGGTCTCGGTCGAGATCCCATTCCAGGTCACGTTCCATGTCATATTCGAGATCGTACTCCAGGTCGAGATCTTATTCCAGATCTTATTCCAGATCGAGATCTTATTCGAGATCGCGGTCCAATTCATATTCCAGATCGCCTTCTCGTAGCAGGTCTAGAAGCCAGGATAGCCCGGTACAGAAAAATCGCCAACAGTCTAGATCTAGATCTAGATCTAAATCTTTCTCCGGGTCTCCGTCTCAAGATGGCGACCAGAGATCCAGAACACCGCCCCGTGGAGATAACCAGAGATCTAGAATTCCACTTCGAGATAGTAACCGCCAGAGATCCAAATCTCCCGTAACTAGACAGCCAAGAAATCAGTCCCGGTCTAGATCCCCTGCGAGCAGGGCTCCAAGGCTTCATCCCGACAGACTCAAGAATATCAGGAAATAGCATCCTATTTAAACGGAAAAGATTTTGGATAGAATTTCACATTAATGGATATTTCAATAATTCTTGTAGGAATCAACCAATTCGTTGCCCTTCTCAGTTTCACCCCTAAACGCACTTAAAGCTGTGATAATCAGTCTTGACTCGGTAGTCACTCGAGTTAGAGGGGCGTCTCATGTTTGTTCCGGTTCTTTATGGGTCCTGGGTCACTACGAAGTTTTTAATCCTCCCGAAGCCCACTGATCTTTAAAATAGTGCTTCAGCCTTCATACCATGGTTCTGAGGGACGGCCCCAGCAATCGAGCTGGATTCATCCACTCAAGAAACCTTACAATCCCCAATAATCTTAGTATGTACATGGTTCATCTTTTCTATTAACAGCGGATTAACTTTCTACGGTGAAATACCACTTCCTCCGGCTAAACCCCCATCTCAAGATTTTACCATTCTCTAGTCGTATCTAAATAAAACTCAATGATTCTTCGGTGAAAACCACCAATCTTTCCTTCAACTACACCGATAGCCTGTAAACTCTATGGAAATGAACTAAAAAAAAGTCGAGAAATTACCTTCTAATTCTGCTCCGTGGTATCATCGGCCTCTGGAGTTTCAGTTCCCGCTTCAAAGACTGGACTGGGTTCCTCCATGACCACATCTTCCTCCTTTACCTGGATAGGAGCATCTACTTGGGTTTCAGTTGAAACTACTTCTGCCTTTGAGGAGGTTTCAGCCTTGAAATCTGTTTTTCCAACCATCAGGGAGGTCTGGGCTTCAGTTTCAACCTTTGGGCCAGACTCACTGGCTATGCCACTCGTCTCTCCATACTTTTCAGGCCAAAACTTTTCTAGCATCTCCGTCACCTTCACCTTCAAATCCTCGCTTTCACGGAGCCCCTCGAGCACTTGTAAGCACCATGCCTTGACCGGCGGTCTGTACAAAATCAAAAAGTGCAACGCCTGGATTCCGATGCTCGATCTTACCGGGTCCAAGCACAAGCTGGCCAACTTGGCCACCAAGTCCTCGTTCAAGTACGGCACGTCCCCCAACAAACGGATAAAGATTTTTCTGTCGGACGGCTCAATATATGTGATGACGGCGTCCAAGATCTTGGAACACCACGTGACATACGTCGGCGTCGGAATGTCGGCGTCCTTAACACGGGCCTTGACCTGCTCGTCGGTGAGGCCGGCGCTGGTCAACTCGGCGGCCAAGACGGCTTCGTTGGTGACGCGCTCCGAGTACCACTCCTCGTGCAACCACTGTACAACGACATCCACACGGGTAGAAATCGACTGGGTAAAGTAGTCAAAGATGGCCTGGCGAATCATGTCGCTGAGGATCTGGTTTTCCTCGTCGTTGTTTCCCGGCGAGGTGATGCCCCTGGTGTTAAGGCGGCTCAAGATGGTCAACCAGCTGTCGTTGCTCCAGTCCTGAATCGCGGTTTTATTCAATTCATTGCTGACTCCGTTCAGCGATTCGGACGTGGCATGGAGCTTCTGGCTGGCGGTGGCATTGCCTGCGGTTTCAAAGTACTTGGCGATGATCACCTGGAGCTGCTGCTTCTTCTGCTCAAATGTGAGCACTTTCGGCGCCGGAAGAGTGTATGTAGCCTCTGGGTCGTACTCATCATCAGACTCCGCAGCTGGCGTCATCTCCGTCTTCATCTGAACACTGACGGCATTGGCATAGCGCGCTGCAACAATCTCGAGCGCCTGGGTCAACTTCTTAGGCTCGGCTTTGTTTAAGCCGATCAACACCATTTTGATGAGAGTGTCGGGGGGGATGCTACTGACGTCAAACAAGTGGTTCTCGTCCTTCGGATCGCCGAGCAACCACATGTCACGGTAGGAGTTGCTGGCAGCCACCTTGGCGGAGTTAAAAAAGCCGGAAAGAGGACGCTTGCGGATCTGGTCATCGGTCGAGGCGGCCTCCAACGGGTTGTGGCGGCGCTGCTCATCCGCTCTGGTCTGGAGCACGTTGGCCATGGTGGTGAGCTTCGGCTCCAATTCTGCGGGGATCAACTGGTTACGGAAGCAATGATTGAGGAAGACTTTCAACGTGCGGTCCACAAAACGTCTCAGTAACTTGAATGTGTTCACCGACTCATAGTTAGACTGAAGCTTGGCGTAGGACTGGAACTTCTCAAGCACCAGGAACACCTGGGTGCCCAAGTGTGCACGATGACGGAGCAAGTACGGCAACGCGTTGATGATCGCGGTGAGTACACCGGAGTTGATAGTTTCTTGCTTGAACGGTGCGAGCATCAGGTCGAGGATCCTGAGCCCGTCGGCCTCGGATGCGCGCGTGATGAGCGGATGGTTTGGTGCAACCTCGCTGAAGCCAAAGTGCGAGCTTGGCTTCGGCGGCGTACGGTTGCGCAAGCGTGGGTCACGCGGTGGTGGCGGCTTGTCCAGGCTGGCCGTGTGCAATAACACAACCTTGACCATCAACTTAATAAGCGGGAATTTGGCGTTGGCGCCCCTGTAGCGGTCGAGTTCGTCGTTCTGCGGCGCAAACGGAAATGGCGTGTTCCAGCGTGCCAAGAGTGCATCGCGGATGGCAGTAAGCTTGATCCAGGTCGAGGAAGCGTTGGGGTTTTCCGCAACGTACACAAAGAGGATGTCGTAGAGCGCGGTCACGGTGTGGGTGACGTTGACAAAAATGGCAGCATCAGCCACGGTCGCGAGCGCCGCGAGTGCGTCAAGTGCATCAAGCCCCACATCGAGCTTGATGTTGCGCGCCAATGGCGATGTTTTGCCGAACGAGTCTGCGAAGAACAGTGCGCACCAGCGCTGGATGGCGACATTGTTGTTAGCCGCAATGGGGTAGATCGAGCGGAGGACCTGGGGGTAGACGTCCAAGTTGGAGACCGCAAGGTCGCGCGCCTTGTCGAGGTTCTCAATCTCTGACATACGAATAGTGAATGATAAAGGGGGATGAGGTTGGTTTTGTAGGCTCAATTTGTATTTACTTAAGTTTCGGTGGGTGTGCGCGTACCACCAAGACGAGCGCAGGAGCACGGTGCGGGCTTGGCCGAGGGCAGTACCATGGGGTATGTAAAATAATGGTTTGGTAGGAGAGTCATCCAGGGGGAGAGTCATCCAGGGGGAGGGTACCCTGACTTCAAGGGCATACTGAGCAAGTATTTTTCTTGATTATTTTGAGGGCCATCAATTTGCTATTTGGTACTGCTTTAGCTATTATCAGTCATATTTGTCAGTAACCAATAATATCAGTGTTTCAATAGTACAAAAAAGTATGTCAACTGAGAATTTGGGGGATAAACAACATGGAAGAATAAGATATAATTGTATGAAACCAAGGATATTCGTGCCTTTATATAGTTTATGGCGTCAGAGAAGGCAAGACCAGCAATGTGCGACGCTTTTGACATGCGTCAGCGATACGAGACTGTTTTGATCAAGGGTGGGACTGGCAGGATAAGACTTTGGTAAAGGGACCACCAACAGTGGTTATGCTAACCTTCAATTTAGTCATAATTTGAGGCTGAACTTGCATTCTTAATTTGAGGTTGAGTTCTCATTAATCTTCAACGTGTCTTTGGACGGTGATTGTGCCCCACTCCTGATCATAACGGTATTGCTGAACCTAACAATAAATATCCAATCTTCCCAAGCCTAGTAGTTTAGAACTACCTACACTTCAATAGTATGATTCTCAGTTTCTTAATCTACCTTATTCCTAAACATAACCCAAAACAATTTGTGACATATTTCATCCCGTCAGTGGGGCCTACCACATAGACTGGAGTGGTTATGTGCACTGTCATCACTTAACGATAAACATAGCGCGTAACAAAATACAAGCTGAAGTCTGACAGTGCCAAAGCCGTAGCCCATAAAATTTTGAAGGATATAACCCACAAGACAAGATGTCAAAGAGAAGTAAGCAGGTTTACATTAGGCATCATAATGATAGGGGTGGATGGCTATAAACCAAACAAAAACAGGTGGAACCTGATGTGGCCTAAAGCGAGACCATGTCTTGTCATTGATGCAACCTGTTTAGTCCTCCTCGATCCGACCATTGCTTACTCGCCGCCACACTTACTAACCATACAGAGGAGATGACCATTTCGGCTCTCATATCGGAGGAGTCCCCGGACCACACGCCCCAGTCGGACATTAGCTCGCAGCTCCAACCAACCATAAAGCCGGGTTCTCCCAAGCCCGAAGTGATCTTGATCCTCGATGAGGACGAGGAGAAGAAGCCCCAGCCGATTGCCTTGGCCCCACAGCCAACCCCTTCCCTGAGCCCCGGAGGGCCCAGTAGCCTATTTGCACCGGAGCTGAAGACGAAGACTCCGATATCGATTCTCAACCCGGTTGAGCCAGATAAGAAGAAAAAGCGTCCGACTGATGAAACCACCGACGCCCCTAAGAAGCCGAAAGGGGGACGTCCGTCAAAGATTGCCCACATTTTGGCCACGCTTCCAGCCGAGACGCCTGTGCCTCCGAAGGTGGAGGTCCCCAAGCCATCGTTTGTGAACGTGACAGAGGAAAAGAAGGCCGATGAACCCGGGAGTCTTCTAGCATCGTTAATGTCACCCGGAAGGAATGTAGCTGCGAAACCCACGGCAGAAGAGACGAAAGAGCCCATCATCATTCTCGACGTGCCGCTAAATGCCCCTGGACAAGCCCCAGGTACAGCGGAGGTTGTTTTTAACGTCATGAAGCTTGCGGAGGAGCAGTACGGCTGGAAAAACGTCCATCCAAACGCCAAGTTTGCGATGGACATCTTGGATGACTTGGACTCTGAGTCTGAGGGAGACAATGACAGCGACATGGAGGAAGACCAAACGGATATTGCCGAGGCGCCAAAGAGTCCACGGTCCCTTGCGTCCTTGGCGGCCAGTGAAAAACAACGCAAGGCTATTGCTAGCAACAACCGAAAAGTCGGAAAGTACGACAAGCTCGATCCGTTCATCGACGACTCGGAAATGTTCTGGGAAGAACAGGCTGCCTCTACCAAGGATGGGTTTTTTGTGTACTGGGGGCCATTGGTAGACGAGGGACAGCACACGAGAATTGAAAGGGCCGACGGGACGGTGAAGCGGGGAAGAGGGGGGAAGAGACCTGGCCCAGCCCCGAAAAGCAAGGTGTCGAAATAGGAAGACTGTCTTTGAAACCCAAGGCTGCGCGAAAGTGAAAACTTGTCTGGATAAAGCATATCATCCAAGACACATGGTAATACACTTTGGAAGAGGTTCTGTTAGATATTTAGATCAACCGGCTATTAAGGCTATGGCTTTATTAAATCTGGCTGGTCCTGAAGTAGACCTTCACCCTCGTTAACATGTCTGTCCTTCAGCATTTTGAACTTTATAATCCCTTGCAACAGTAGCCAAGGTGCATGGATTTTATTTTCACCCTGATATATATGTTCAAACTCCTTCGCGTTGACACCTGTTTTTTTTTTCGTACTTTGAGGAACAATATTTACCCACCTTTACGGTGTTAGTTTAACCAGCTTTCAGACTTTGCCGTATACGGCACACATCATTCTAGCTTCAAACCGTTCAGCATTTCATTTCATTTTTCTAAATGCATTTAATAAACTATGGTACACGTATAAAACATAGAAATCCACTCTCGGACTATTTGAAATCCTTGTAGGTCCACTTCTCGGTGATCTTCGGGGCGTATCTTCTCTTCTTGGAAACCTGTTTTCTGGCCTCGACCTTCCCGGAGTTCTGCATCTTTCTCATCTGGTCGTATAACAAGTTTCCTTCTGGCTTCAACAAACGCAAGGAGTCGGTCAACTCATCCGATAACTTGACCTCCAACGGATCGTCCACCGACGCGTACTTGAACAACTTGTGCTTCTTAAACGCTGGATCAGAATTCTTAGCCACCGTGGCGGCGGTCTTCTCGATCTTGGCGCTAATCTCGTCTAAGAACTCGGGCAACTTCTCCAACTCCTTGATCTGGTGCTTGAGCGACTTCAACTTGCTCTCCAACTCCGTCCTCTCCTTGAATCTTTCCTCCTTGTTTCTCTGCGCCCGGGTCTTAATCTTCTTTTCGGTCGGCTTGTTAACAGACAATCTAGTGAGCTCGGTGGCGTCCTCCGCGTCCTCCTCCTCTCCAGCATCCTGCTCAGCGCCAGAATCGTCTTCCTCGTTGTTATCCAACTGGTTGATCAATTCCTGGATCTTCTGCTTGTGCGCCTCCAACGCGAGTCGGGCATCCTCCTTGGTCTTTTCCTTCGCGTACTCCTCGTTGATCAACAACTTCCACGAGTCCAAGGATGGGTTGTACGACTTACCGGCGCTTGGAATCGTTTCGTATGCCTTGATCTTGATAGGCGCCTCCAATAAAGTAGATGGAACCTTGGAAGCCTTCGTGTGACCAGAGATGGAGCGTTCCTTGAGGATGCTCGGCGTGGCCAAGGCAATCTTTCTCGCCTTGACGGCAGCCGCGGTCAGTGGGCCATCGTCGCCCCAAACATCGTACGACTCATAGCGCATAATTCCCTCTTTCTCGACAATCGCGTCGGTCTGTGAGGCACCCTGGACTCTCCCCGCGAGCTTCATTAAGCGGTGGATCTCCTTCCCGGAAACGCCCTGAAGCGACTTCTTGTTATTTCTCAACTCCACCAAGGCTGGCGCCTTGGATCTCTTGTTTAAAATCTCAGTTGCCTTCAACACCTTGGTGTTTTTAGAGATTTTATGAGCAATCTTGGCATCACCAGACACGTCCACGGTGAAGAGGTCAGCGGAGGATACCTCGCTCAACTTGGATCCGTGCGCGATATAGTCCTCGCGGTTCCGTTCCAAACCAGCTTGCACATCGTCAATATCGATATTCTTTCTCCAGGCCTTCTTACCCTTACGGGAGGTCTGCGATTTCTGGGAAGGGCGGTTGACTTCCATTGTGTGGTGATGATTTGATGGTAGGTTTAAGCCAGATGAAATGTATGCAGATAAAAAGGAAATTTTTCGTGCACTGAAAAAAATAAGGGAAAAATATTTTGTCACGTGCCGATGAGCAGCATAGAAGCCCTGAGCATGCAAGATGCGGGCTATTTTTCAGAGTCAGACGGACATGAAGGAAGAGACAGAGGGTGAGCAAGCAATGGCGTTTGAGGACCCGCAGGTATGTATAAAATAGGGATGGAGGGTTAAGGGTTTTATGGAGGAAGCTGGAATCCATGATTGATTGGGAGAACCGAGGAGGCCTGAGGACCGACTATGGAAGTCTGACGACTGATGAATGGTTTGGGAGGGATGGATAAGGAGGATATGCGACTATGGAAGTAACCTAAGAGGTACTCCTTCAGGGGATGGAGAATGGAACTCTAATAGATATCCAAAATACTCCGTGATTAACGATAAAAAAAAAATACCGTTTTTCGGGAGGTCCCTCTGGACACGTCAGAAGTACCCCGGGATATGGCATAGATACCCCGGGACCCAAGGTATTCCTACTAGAATCCACTCAGGCTTCCCCAGGGATATCCGCTAAAACTCTTGATTCCCGATTCGAGAGCTTCAGCAGTTACTAACCCGATAGCATGCGATTGAATGCATACAACAACGCACGGACATCCTATTCGCCGAAACTCGCCGCGAATCCCCTTTGGTGAACCATGCTCCACTTGAAGAAGACGAACTTTATGTAAAGTCCAAGGTCATTGCGTTGGGAGCCAAAGCTGAATATGACGATACCAAGCAACTAGAGAAGGCCGAAGACGAAGCCCCGGTGTCCATCTTGTACACACGAATTAAAGAACGCGAGGAGCGATACAGCGACAACCCATCGCTACTAGCCTCTCTGGAAACGCTCATGCCTGAGCTCCTCCAGTACTTCCCACAGCGCGTCGAGTTGGCGCAGTACGCCCAGCCGAATGCCTCGCGAACGTTGATCAGACACCAACAAGCCACGTCCATCACCAGCAAACCCGAATGGCACGCGCCGTGGAAGTTGATGAAGGTGATCACCGGTCACCAGGGATGGGTGCGGAGCATCGCGATAGAACCGGAGAACAAGTGGTTCGCCACGGGAGCCTCAGATGCCACAATCAAGATTTGGGACCTCGCATCTTCTAGGTTGAAAGTGACGCTAGCCGGACACATCATGCCCGTGCGCGGACTTGTGGTCAGCGAGCGCCATCCGTACCTCTTCTCGGCGTCCGAAGACAAAACGGTCAAAAACTGGGACTTGGAGAAGAACAAGATCGTCAGAGACTACTACGGACACGTTTCCTCCGTTTATGCCCTCGATTTGCATCCCCATTTGGACGTGTTAGCATCGGCTGGCCGCGACGCCGTGGTGAGGGTTTGGGACGTGCGGAGCCGTACGGCGATCCACGTGATTTCCGGTCACACCTCCTCCATCACCAACGTCAAGTTTCAAGATGCGGATCCGCAGTTGGTGAGCACATCGATGGATGGAACCATCCGGCTCTATGACTTGGTCGCAGGCAAAACACGCCAGGTCTTGACCCACCACAAGAAGGCAGTGCGTGGGTTGGCAATCCATCCGGAGGAGTTCACCATGGCAACAGCCTCATCAGATGATATTAAACAATGGGGGTTCCCTGAGGGGGATCTCTTGGGCAGCTGCTACCCGAATCACACGGGCATTGTGAATACCATTGCGTTAAACGACTCTAATGTGTTGTTTTCCGGTGCCGATGATGGGAGTATGGCGTTCTTTGACTGGAAAACCGGCCACAAGTTCCAGGACACCGCCACTACCGCAATTCCGGGGTCGTTGGAGAGTGAGCGTGGAATTTTTGCTAGCAGTTTTGACAAATCTGGGTTGCGTTTACTCACCGGTGAGACGGATAAGAGTGTAAAGGTGTGGCGCGAGGACCCAGACGCGACGCCAGAAACCCATCCAGGAAACTCCTGGGATTACTCCATGGCGGTGGGTGAGATATAAGAGGTTAGTATATAATGGAAGGGTAGTGTTTATGAAGTGTAGGAAGAAGGTGGCTCTGGAGCTGAACGCATCGGCTACGTTACGGTACTCAGGGTTATACAGATGATCCAGGTGCGGTTTAGCGTTTTCCGGCCCAAACAACTGGCAAATAGCTGCCCATCCATCTTAGAAAGACGGTTCTGCCCTCCGACGGTTAAATACACATGGCGGTGCGCGAAGATTACTAGTATGCTGTGTCCCCCCAAAAACTACAGATCCAATACCCGTCCTTCGGCAACCCTACAATTCTTTTACACTTTTTCTGGTTCATTAGCATGGTTCTATCTATCATACACTTAAAGGGCGGTGGCAATGTCCAAAGCCTGTTCGACATCCTTCAACAAGTCATCGGCGTCTTCAATACCAACGGACAATCTGACCAAGTCGTCGTACACACCGGACGCCTCTCTGGCTTCCTGTGGGATACCGGCGTGGGTCATCTGGGCTGGGACCTCCAACAAGGACTCGATACCACCGAGAGACTCGGCCAAGGTGAAAATCTTGGCGGCAGAGGAGAACGCGTTGACGGCAGCGACACCACCCTTGAGTCTGAAGGAGATCATCCCACCACCGAGACCGTTGCGGTGCTGGGTGAGAGTGACTTTGTGGTTGGCATGGGACTCCAAGCCTGGGTAGTTGACAGATATGACCTTGTCGTTCTTTTCCAACGCCCGAGCAATCTTCAAGGCGGAGGTGGAGGCGCGCTCAACTCTCAAGTGCAAGGTCTTGACACCTCTGTGGGCCAACCAGGAGTCGAATGGGGATGGAATGCATCCGATGGCGTTCTGCAAGAAGCGGAACTTGGCAGCCAACTCGTCGGAGTTAACGATGATCAACCCCAAAACGACGTCGGAGTGACCGTTGATGTACTTGGTGGCAGAGTGGACGACAATGTCGGCACCGAGGGTCAACGGGTTGGAGATGTATGGGGACAAGAAGGTGTTGTCGACGACCAAGTGGATGACCTGGCCGGTGGCTCTGACGGCCTTGACCAATTCGGCAACCTTGGCGATATCGGTAACGGACAAGGTTGGGTTGGATGGGGTTTCAATCCAGACCAATCTGGTCTCCGGGCGGACCAAAGAATCGAACTCGTTGAACAAGTCGTTGGTGAAGGAGGTTTCGACACCGTGGGTGTTGGCCACCTTGGTGAAGTATCTGTGAGTACCACCGTAGACGTCACCGATGGAGATAACGTGGTCGCCCTTGGTCAAGGAGTGGAGGATAAGCGCGGTGGAGGCGGAGCCGGAGGAGGTGGCGAGACAGTGCTTACCGTTTTCCAAGGCCGCAATGCAGGTTTCCAAGTTGTTACGGTTTGGGTTGTCGGAACGAGAGTACTCGTAGACGCCCAAAGGAACAGCCGGCGCGGACTGAGCGAAGGTGGTGGAGAGAGAGATGGCTGGAATCACCGCACCGGTGACAGCATCGGCAGCAGAGCCGGCGTGGATGGCCTTGGTGGCGAAACCGTAGTTTTGGTTGATAGGAGACATTGTGTGTGGATAGGGGGGGCGGAAACAAAACCAAACTAAACAACAGCGAACTTGGCGAATATATATGCGAATCTGGTGCTTACTAAGGCGAAAAATTTGTGTCCGGCATGTACAAAATTTTAGACCCGAACTTGACAGACGTCAAGAAGTCACGTGGAAAGACGCCACAGTTTTGACGCAGTGTGAGGCAACTATGAGCACACATGAAGCGCTCGTTGCGGGAGGGCCGTATGGATATTGTATCATATGCACCTCTTTTACGTTGGGTATGCTGTCACCATGGTTGTACCGATCGGTTCATGGTTCGTAATATTCGAATCAATCACATAAAAACGGCTCGGTGTGCTGTGGGAATTACGTCTGCCCTCCGTGCCGGATGACTAGTATGTGTGATGCGCCTAACAGGGGCTTCCAGTGCGCGGTATGGGGCGATACCAGGAAGATGGTTCGAGAAACGAAGTCTTTGATCCAAACTGTGGTTCTGTGGCCCTGGAAGGAGAACCGGGGAAGTAAACACTGTGTGAGGTAAAGCGGTGTATACCGGACATACTGTCTACGGCGTTATACCGTACATCTGAAGCATTTTGTATACTTGGGGGCGAATCGGGATTATCGGTATATTTAGGTAGAGCTGTATAAACTGACGTATATATATTTAGAGAGACTGATATGGGGTTAGAGGATAGACTCACTAATGTCTTTGCTCCGCTCTCAATCGCAAAGTGGAAGACACACACCCGGACGATGTGTTAGTTTAGCCGCATCCATACAAGGCGGCCCTGACAACGCACAACAGTTAATGGCTTGAGGATATCAAGGGGCACACTCATCAGTTTTCATTTCTCAATCAGACGTATTCCAGTGGTAAGAAAGCCATCCAAAGTTGTCACCGGAGTATCTGGATGATAATTTGAGAAAACTCGCGACATACCTGAGGCGACCATTTTCTCTCGATCTGTTTGGCCAAGAAAACTAAAACATGGGATGACATCAGAAAGGATGAGCTTTTTTTCGTATATAAACCCTTGTCTGTCATTATCACCTTCTTTCCGCTCATTGAACACAAGTGTAATGCAAGACCAGACTCTAACATTCCTGGAAGATTCATAATCAGTCATATCAGCAGCTGCTGGATCACAAACACAGATTTCGTTAAAGGCCATGAGGCCAACATTGTAAGTTATATACTTATTGATAATTTAGCATTTAAAAAGATTTTTCACAATTGTCAACAAGGCGAATAGTCCAAAGTACAAAGGTCACTCAACTAGCGCAAATTATCAAATTGTAAACCACGCGTATCTTCACTGCAACCAGTTATTTTCTCTATCGCAGCTATGGCCTGTTAGGTGACTCTCGCTTTACCACAATCATCTATGGTAGCGTTTGCATTGTATCCCCTTCATGTCAGTCCAATATAGGCAAAAAGTTCCCCACTATCATCATGGGGATCCCAAACACATCTCGCTTTAAGGTCCAGATACAGGCGGTGCGAATCTTGCGTCCCGTTGGGGTGAGCAAAGTACACTCCATCATGGTGGCGCCCCTAAAGTCACCAAACGCGATCTTGCTGAACAAATGGAAATACTCCAACACTGACTTGTCATCCATCAACTCCACAATAAATGTCATCTTGTTCAACAACTTCTCCTTCGTCCAGCCCGTCAAGATGCAGAACTCGTCGCCAACGTAGCTAATCTGCGCAGTACGCCGCCATACCAACGTTGGCGTACCCGAGACCTTGATGAATGTATCGTACTCGAGTAACGTGCGCTGGAAGCACTGCTCCATAAAGATCAAGTCGTGCTCCTTGAGCGAGTTTGTGCATGCGATGAACGACGGACGGTACGCCGCGATGGACTGCGCAACACGCATGAGCGCGTCGCGCGCGAACCGCTGTTTGAGGTACGCGAGGAGCCCGTGATATCCCGGGGTGTACGAAAACGGCTTGAGGATCTTCGTGTAGATATCCTCCTGCTCCATGAACCGGAGGCCCCATGCATGGTGTGTGTGTGACTCCTGCTCCGGCCGCTGGGGTTGCTCGGGGGGGATTGAAATGCTGAAAGAAAGCAGCAGGTGTGCGAATGCCTGGGGGTCTTGCTGCCTGATGATGTCAATCAGGGCAATCACGTCGGGAAACGTGGTTGTGTGTTCTGAGGAATGCAGTGAATCGGGGCCGAGAAAATACTGGTTGATCGAGAGGTCCCCTTTGGCTTCGTTGCTGAAAATAGTGTAGGGAGATGACGAGCGCTGGAGCATCTGGTTCTGACTCTGCCCCTTCGATCTGTACCCCGGGTGGTTGGCTGGGGTAATGAGAAACGCGTCAGTATAGTCACTCGGCGTGTTGTGCTGACTGTTGGTGTTGACGCTCATGGACGGGCTAAGCACCGAGTTGTCAGACGGAAACCCGGTCTCCTGGATGATGCTGGATAGCGTGGAGTACTCCATGTCGGCCGCGTTGGAGAGAAACTTGTTGGTGGGCTTGACATTGAACATGTCCTCCATATCCTGTTTGTACGGAAACGGATTATACTGCTGAAAGAGCGCAGGGTTCTGCGGAAACAGCGTGGTGTTTTGCGGCTGATGCACATAGGATGAGGGCTGCGGCGACGGTATGTTGGTATTTTCTGTTTTGACAGGATGCGCGAGGCTGGTGCGGCTATCAGCGCTGGCCTGTGAGCCTATAGGGATCGCAGAAGGGTCATGATCCAGGGAATGGGCCATATTGGAATGACCCAGAGAATGAGCCGTACTGGAATGTCCCGTTGAATTTCGTGAAAGATGTCCCAGAGAGTGCCCCGCAGAGTTTGCGTTCCCCGTCGAACGTCTCCCCTGACCTTGGCTCACAGAACTAGAACGGGTCTGGTTATGTCCCGAATCGGAATGGCTAAAGGAATTTCCCTGACTCGCGAGATGGTCTCCCAGAGTGGCTCGGTGTCTCCCCGCTCCGTTTCCCTCTGGAAGGAAGCTTGGCCCCGCAACCTCATCCGGTACATCCATGAGGTACTTCTTCTTCTTGCGCGGCGCGTCGGTGCACGAATCGTGGAGGCCCTTAGACTTGCATCGAATGCACGGCCGTTCTTCGTCACACGGCATGTGGGCCTTGTGGCAGTGGACACACGCTCTTGTGATCTTCTTCTTCTTGGAAGGTTTGGGACTCATGGCTGTGTACCCTTTTGTGGCATAGAAGCGCGAATGTAGTGAATGATATGCTGTTGCGTGAAGCGGGATACCGAGTAGCTTGGAGTATCGTGACGTAAACCTCGTAACGCGGACCTGAAAACTTTACACCACGGATAATTGTATAGTGCAACAACTTTTCGACTGACAGATATTCGGCCTCAATAATCCCTGGTTTTGATGCGAACAACTAATCTTGACCTTTGCGGGGATTCGTGTGGTCGTCTCGTGGTTATCTTGTTTACGAAACGAGACTAAAAGATTTGTTAGCCGCCGCGGACTGAAAACGGAAGCGGCACGAGCGAATAGGCCCGGAACCGAGGCCGCACCCGGGGCATTCACCGCAAGCCTGCGAGGTACACAGGCACTATACGGAACGCCGTGCGATCACGTGTCACCATAGGTCCGGTGTAAAGTATTGAGCCAGGAAGGGAAGTTTAGGCTGAACAAGTTATAGTGATTGCTTGGCGGAAGACGTGTTTATTTTCGGTGCCATCCATTCTCGGCCTATAGGCAAGTCGATAACATGGAAGTCGGACAAGTATTAGTGATTAGATTCGAAACAAGACAAAATTATCTCACGTGAGAACTTCTCTATAAACCAATACCACTACTTGCATTAATAATTCTAATGTGTATTTTTTTTTATATACATGGAGTAGAACAAAACTATTGTGGATATGTTCATGGTTAATACAAGTGCATTATGACCATCACCCGACAATTCAAATCATAGTTTGCTTGCATCAGTATCTAATAATCCGTAGTCTTGTTACCACCTTAATGGAATTTCCTTCACCTAAACCCTCTTTTCATTCTAGTCAAAATTATAAAACTACATTCCATCCCAGTTCTTTCTCATGGCGTTGGGATTCCCAAACACACCGTGGCGGGACTCGATCACAAACTGGTCAAACACGTCGTCGCCCGGAATGGTGTTATCCCGCTTCCGCAAGAGCATCTGCTCCCGTCTGTCCACCGCCTGCTGGGCAATCCAGACCATGAAGCTATCACTGGGCTTGATTGCGGCACCATGCTCCAACTTGAGATTCACCAACCGGCTGAAGGCCTGCTGTGTCTCAAGCTCCGTGAGCGAGCCGCTTACCAAGCTCTCCTCAAGCTCCACCGCTTTTTCCTGGGGAGATGCGCCCGAGCGCTTCTTCAATACCGGAGAAGCAACTTTCTGGGCGTTGTAGGAGGTTCCCATGTCCTCAAACACCGACAAATATTTGGTATACGCCTTGGTGTTTTCGAACTTGGAATGGAGTCCCACCAATGTAGCCATTCCCAGGTCTTTCTCAAACTGTTGCATCCCCGCCGGGTCGAGCACGACAGCATCGAGTACCGAGAGTGCACGCTTCAAGAGTAACGGTGATATCTCGTCTTCAAGCCGCTGTAAGAGCTTCTTGACAAACTGGGGCTGCTGAGCAAACGTGTTTTGGATCGCGAGCGGGTTATTGCGGTGCATCGCGGCCATCACCTGGTAGCACTTTTCCTGGACATTCACGGTGTCTTTGGCTGTGGTCGGTGCCGAGAACCGGAGGAGGTGTGCGACAAGGTCCGCGCGTGTCAACTCCTCGCCGTACTCCAAGTCATGGCCTAACTCTTCGAGCACCGTGAGCGCCGCGTGCAAACGCTCCAGGTTAGCTAAATCCAAGGATTCTGCCCCACCATCTGAGAAATCGCAAATGTATCTGAATTCGTTGACGGCATAGGACAAGTCGCTGGTCTCGGCACCGCGGTTCGCATGTACCTGGCCCTTGTGTGCGTCCAATGCGTCGTCATGAATGGACACATCCGCTAGGTCGTCCTCATCCGTGATGTGCGCAACTATTGCCTTTCCCGGGCTAAGGTTCAACACGTGCTCGCCTGTCTCGTCATCAAGCAACTTCGCCTCTTTGACATGCGTGGCCATGTTCATTCGGACGTGTAAGCCCGCAGGGATCTCCTGGCCCTCTCTGATTTGCTGCCACTCGCGTGTGGGTTCAAACACACGGGGGTAACAGTGTGCTGGGTCGTTGTCTGGGCAAATGCGCTTTTGCACTGGAAGCGACGAGGCAAAGACAGGCGAAAAGTGTTGGGAGAGAAGGAGCGCGGTGAGGATTACGGATTGGAGGCGTGGAACACCGGCAAGCATATCCTGTGTTGTATATGGTAACTTCTGGGTGAAGAAGAATGATCTGATATGTTGTTGTTTTTAGGTACGAGTATATAGAGATTGTAGAACAATGTGTAAAAGTTACCAATTTGACACCGTATCACTACATAGCCGGATTGGTCCGCGCCGCACGGAAGCCGGCTGCGAACGCCTCGATCTATAAAGTGTGCTGCTAGTACGGGACTTGCAGGTCTGTCACTTTTGAAGCTACAGCTATAAGAGTGGGTTAAATATCTGAAAATTTGGTACAATCTGGATATTGCTTCATCACTAGCTACCTATATGAATCGAGATATCCTAGCACTCTAGATCTGCCTAGTTACACCTCACAAACTCCACACGTTGGCATCTACTTGCAATTTACCAACGCCTGTACCAGTATATACGAATGCATTCCAGCACGATGGATGCTTCTTCTTCGCGGCTGATGGTCAGATACTCTTCTTCCAGCACACCTTATTCTAGCTCGTCATTGATTGTACTCAGCATACTGTAACACGCTGGACTTATACTAACAAAATACTTGATTACTAAAGCAGAAATCGTAAGAGGTGTCGTTTATTTGCTCTTAAAGAGTCGTCTAGCTCCAAATGGTGCTCATAACATCAAAACGGTCTATACGTCATATTGGCTTTGGAGCTCGCTATATTACTAGGCCTAGGAAAAGTCTCGGTCTCTCGCCTATCCCTCTTTCTTTTCAAACAACATCTTTTCAAACATGCTTGCGGCCCTCTCCTCAACCCTTTCACTTCCAGCTTCGTCCCCCCCACTGACACTTGCATCTAATGCAAGCTTATTTTCGGCCATTTGGAAGATATTCTCCTCGATCGTATTTCTGGTAATCAACCGGATCACCTTCACCTCGCTGACCTGCCCCACTCGATGCGCTCTGTCTTCTGCCTGTCTATCATCATGAGGATTAAACGACTGGTCAAAGATGACCACGTGGTTGGCACAGACCAAATTGATACCAAAACCACCGGCCTTGGTTGAAAGAAGAAACACCTTGATAGACTTATCCTCGTAGAATTCGTCAATAAGGTCCTGTCTCTCGTCCACCGCGGTGGAACCGTCCAAGCGGAGAAACTTGTAGTCCATGGCCTGCAACACCCGCTCCAAGATGTCGAGCATCGCGGTGAACAACGAGAAAATAAGGATACGGTCGCCGTTCTGGACGATCCCCGGGAGAATCTCGCGCAACTTTGCCACCTTGCCTGAGGATTCCGTGTAATCCTTCTCCGCGAGCTCAAACTCGGCGAGGGTGAACGGAAACTTGGCACAGAGACGGTTGAGCTCAAAGTCAGACATCACACACATGTCCTCGAAGATGTAGTCCTGGTTTGCCTCGACGTACTCCGGCTCGTTCATAATCGCCCGGGCCATCTGGCGGACGCGGTCGTCGGTATAGAGGGAGCGGAATAACAACGGATGGAGTGAAGCCTTGCGCAATTGCATGATAATATTGGTGGACGACGGAAGCGGCGAAGTTTTGTTCAACTGTGCGAGCGCGCTCGGGGTGAGGCCCTTGCGTGCGTCGCGCTCTGCACGGACTTCCGCGGCTTCGCGCACCAGCTTATCGTAGATGCCCTGCTGGATGGGCAACATCTCACAGTACACCGTTTCACGCGTCTTTTGCGGCAAGTGCTTCAAAACCTGGTCCTTTCGGCGACGCAACACAAATGGCGTCATCATTGTCCTGGCCTTGGAGATTGCCTGCTGCGATAACAACGGGTTGTAATCCCCGGCGTATTCATCGGTTGTCTTGGCTTTCTGGTCGAAAATGCCCTGCAAGTCCTCCTTCTTGTCCACAAAAAGGTCCGGGAGAATAAACGCGAGAAGCGAGACCAACTCCTTCAAGTTGTTCTGCAACGGCGTCCCCGTGAGGAGCAAACGGAAGCTCGCGCGCAACTTCATCAACTTCACATACCGCTCAGAAGAGGAGTTTTTCAACATGTGACCTTCATCGTAGACCACCACGTTGAAGCCACGGCTACGCAAAAAGCCGTGGTCGTTCTTATTTCCCGTAGCGAGGTTGTAGGTTGTGACTAAAACGTCGTACTCCGCGTCCGCGAGCGCCTCACGCAACTCGAAGCGTTCGCTCTGCGATCCGTAATACGCGTTCACCACGAGCGTCGGGCAGAACTTGCGGAATTCACGCATCCAGTTCTCTAAGGTTGAGGACGGCACCACCACGAGATGCTTTCCGCAGTGGTGCGGGTCCACCTCCTTGAGGTGCGCCATGAACGCAATCACCTGGCACGTCTTCCCGAGCCCCATCTCGTCTGCAAGGATGCACGAGAGCTTGTGCTGGTAGAGGAGGTTGAGCCAGTTAATGCCGACCTGCTGGTAGTTTTTCAATTCGAGATCCGGTGCGAGAAGCTTGGGCTTGGTTTTGAAGTATGCCTTGGGGTTCGCGTGCATGGCCGCACGCGGTGCGCGCACCACGAACTCCACGTCCGAATCGCTGTCGCTGTCACCGATAGTTAAGAGTCTGCCATTAACCCTTTCGAGGTTTTCGGCCCCATTTTCAGCCCCACTGGCCTCATCCACGAAGTTGGGGGTCGGCATATCCAGCACGGTATCCACGTCAATCTCCACAATCTCGAGCTCGCCGTCGCGCGCGTCCGCACCATGTGTGGTGACACCCCACTTCCCGATCTCGCGTTTAATCTTGTCGTTGTACGCCGAGCATTCACGGATTAACGACTCCACCGCGGCATATCCCCTGAGGGTAGTTGCAGACTTTTCTACAATCTTCAACCCCCACGTTTTCGCCCTCGACCCTTTCTTAGGGTCCTTTGAGAAGTTGTTGTTCTCAATCTGCCCGAGCGACTGGTACGGACGGCTCGCGAGGAGCATATCCGCGATATGTGGCGGAACCGACGCGAGCTCCATCACGTCCTTTTTGGAGGCGGTATTAAGGAAACTAAGCGTCTGGAACATTGTCGCGGCGGAATCAACCTTACTGCCAAACTGGGCCTCAGGGTCGGAGTCGGAGTCGGAGTCAGCCGCGCGTGGCTCTTCCTCATCGTCGCTGAGTCTAAACCCCTGTTCCTGCGCCGGTCCAGCCTTCTCGGGAGCTTCAACTTCCTCAACGTCAGAAAGTTCAGACTCATCATCACTGACGAGCGCGCGCGTGCGTTCGCGCGTGATCGGCGCATGTTCGTCCGTATCCTCCTCCGCGGGTTCGAACGCGGATGCACGCACCAAGCGGCGCTTCTTTTTCGGTGCCTCGTGGCCGTTTTCGGCCTTCAAGCGTGCGAGCTTTTCCGGCAAGCTGAACTGGTTGTACTTGTCGTTGATGGACTTTTTTGGCTTTGGGAGCCTCTGGGGCGACAACTCAGGGGAAGAGTAGATTTCCTCAATCGCGGAAGCCTGAAGGTTTACAAGCGGAACCTTTGGTGCGGTAGAGATCAATGGCTTGGTCAACAGCGCGAGGCGCGTTGGCGCGGGTACGGCGAGTTTTGGCGGTGCCTGGGCAAAATATCCGGACGTCTTTGCAGCTGAATACCCAGACGTTATCGGAGCCGTGTTTGCTGCTATCTTCTCCTCTGGTTGCTCTGGTTTTGGCTCTGGAAAGTCCTCTTTACGGTACTTTTTCAACGCGGTCGCAGCCTCCCTCAAGTTCAACCTAGCCTCCTTATACGCCTGCTGGATCACCTTAACAGGGATGAACGGGTATTTTTTCCGCAACATGCTGCAGTCTTTGATGTAGGTCGCCTTTTTGGTGGCAATAGCCGTAGCGTTCGGCTGGAAGGCGCTTGTGGACATGATGCTGGGAGGACGTAAGAACAACGGGTCTCCTTGAACGGGGGACGAGGACAGAATGGATTGAGGCGAAGAGTCCGGAACTTGCACAAACGAGCTGGTTTTGGTAGGTGTAGCGGGCTCCTGGTGCATCTACAGAGTTGTGGAAATAGGCTGGGATTGTAGGTGGGGGAACGTCGCGGTATAGGATTTTTCATGGGAAAAAAATTCACGCGTCGCGTTTACGTAATCGGCGCAGGATGTCTGTCAGAACAGGGTTGAGGTTTGGTTTAGAATATACCAAAGAGGGAGGAATGTGGTAGTTTAGGAAGTGAGCAGGGGTGTAAATACTCTCAGAGGATATATGATTGTTTTTATTCGTCTACAAAGATTCTAAACCATTGTGAAATGTGAGTAATGGGCTGGTGGAAATATGATAGGGCGCTCCCTCAACACTACGAATCAAACTACTGATCGTTTTTTATGGTAGCTTTTAGTTAGTTAATTCTAAATTCGAGTCTTATTTAGCGGGATCCTTAAATGAGCTTCCGTGAGTATGGTGGATTTTAGTACTTAAATTCCATGGAATATGACTGATAGTCGCATCTGCAGCACCGGATAATTGCTCTATTTTTCCGGCTGCAAACCGCATAAGTATTCACCTTGGCGCCGTTATCGCCATAATGCCTTACACAGTCTACTCGTGCGGTTCCAATGGAAATTACCAGTTGGGTAATGCCACCAGTGACGATTGCTCGTGTCTCTCGCCCTCTCTTTTCAATGGCAGCCTCACAATCCCCACCCAGCCCGCTCAGATCGTGTGTGGAGGCAATCACACCTTGATGCTCTTGGTCAATGGCGAGGTCTGGGCCGCGGGTGACAACTCACACGGACAGTGTGGGATAGCCGCTGAAGACTCACACATACGGATGTTTCGCCAGGTGCCACTCGGGGGCTTGGAGGTTGTCAGTGTCTCTGCAGGATGGGAGTTCTCGGTGCTTGCGACTGCTCACGCGGTCTATGTCTGTGGTTTAGGCTTAAAGGGCGAGCTAGGTCTTGGAAAGGGTCGATCCCGATCGCTAAAGCTAGGCGAGCCGTGGGTGAAGCTTGTTCTGTTTCCAACAACGATTCTACTGGTGCACTCCTCGCTCTCGCACTCCGTTGTGGTTTTGGAGAACAACCTGGTTTATGGTTGGGGGAACGGCCGAAGAGGCCAACTAGCGACTGCCGACGTACATTGGGAGCCCGTTAAGGTGGAATTCCCTGGGTCCCCGTTGACTACCATCACGGACGTTTGTCTTGGTCGAGAGTTCACCGTTGTGAGCGGTAAGTCGGGGGATGAAGACATGATTGTGTTCCTCGGAAGAGATACCTTTGACATACAAACGGGATTGAAGGCAAAGCCTCAGCATCGTCGAGCCTTGGCCATGTGGTCATCGGTGCACCTCTTGGGAGATACAGTAGTTTCGCTCGGAAATAACAGCCATGGGCAGATGTATCCCGCAGACTCGGGTGGGGATGCGATTCACCGCTTTGCTGTGGGTAGCGAACACGGGCTTGTACAATTTGATAACCACAAGGTCTGGTCCTGGGGTTGGGGCGAACACGGGAACTGTGGTGAACATAGTAAGCCCACGGAAAGCGTGACGTTTGACTACCTCAACCTCTTGCACGATTTTGGCGAGACCAAAGTAGTGTTGATTGAGGGCGGGTGTGCTACCAGCTGGGTAGTCTGCGAGATTTCTGACACGGCTTAATTGGTGGGTGCTCGGTGTGATTCGGTGGTCGGCCAAAATACTACCATAGGCATATACCTAAGTCCTATAGAATATCCAGCCTTGAACGTGGCAGCTTATTCTTACCGTAATAACTGGTTTACAAAGGTGAGAGTGATTAATGGGACTGTCAAGAAGTCTCTTAGCTGAATGGCATAAACCCGTCCCACACCTAAAATAATTAAAAAGTGTTTGTGTATTTTAATATTGTCATTGGAAATGACTTGAGTATCCTTTTACATACTTGCAAGTGCATACTATGTACCATTGAAATCTCTGGCTCGATAGGCATTGCTGTGAGGTCGCGCGCGTACCGCTCACCAGACATCGGCGGCTGAACAATTTTTAAGCCCAGCACAACGACCCCACCATTGAACTCTTCTTCAACCCCACAACATGTCTTCTTTTATCTCCAGTTTCAAGGCTTTGTCCCTTGCCGATGCTTCCACCGCTTCCCCAGCGCTTTTCCCGGAATTGTCCACCCCAGAGCAACAGGCTGAGTCCGCCCAGTGGACCACTCTTGCTGAGAGACTCCCAGAGTCCCTTGTCCAGTTGAACGAGACCTTGAAGACGAGAACCTTTGTCTTGGGTAGCTTCCCATCTGCCGTTGACCTCACTCTCTTTGTCAAGGTCTTGCCGCTTGCCAGAGCCGTCACTGACGTTGCTGCCGCCAGACACATCTTGAGATGGGTTGACTTGGTGCAAAACACCTTGGTCTCCGTGCCAGTTAACGAAAAGTTGGTCATCGACTATACTGTGGAGTTACCAAGAGAAATCAAGGCCAAGCCAGAAAAAAAAAAGGCTGAGGAGGCCAAGGAGGCGCCTAAGGCTGAAGTCAAGGAGATCAAGGAGGAGGCTTCCGTTGCCGGTAAGGAATTGACTGAGGAGCAAAAGAAGGCTAGAACCGAGGCCCAGAAGGCCAAGAAGGCTGCTAGAGCTGCCCAGAAGGCTGAGATTAATGCCAAGGCTGCTGTTGCCGCCGGTCCATCTGTCTCCATGATCGACTTCCGTGTTGGCTTCATCCAGAAGTGTGAGAAGCACCCAGATGCCGACTCCCTCTACGTCTCCACCATTGATATGGGTGATGCTGAGGGCCCAAGAACTGTGTGTTCCGGGTTGGTCAAATACTTCCCCTTGGAGGCTATGCAAGAGAGATGGGTCGTGTGTATCGCCAACCTCAAGCCAGTCAACATGAGAGGAGTCAAGTCCTGCGCCATGGTCTTGTGTGCATCTGACGAGGACAAGGTTGAATTTGTCAACCCGCCAGCCGGCTCTAAGCCAGGTGACCACCTCTTCTTTGAGGGCAACGACGGCACCCCAGAGAAGGTCTTGAACCCTAAGAAGAAGGTCTGGGAGACCTACCAGCCGGGTTTCTCCACCAACGAAGGCTTTGAGGTCACCTACACCGCTGAAGGCAAGCCAGCCGCCAAGTTGGTTAACGCCAAGGGTGAGGTGTGCAAGAACTCCACCATCGTCAAAGCCAATGTCCGCTAAACGGGTCGCTACATAGTAATACATATATCATGAAACAGGGTTAATGGTAGAGTTAAGACGGTATATATAGAATATTTTATAGGCAGAGGGCATGTGTAGGTGGCCTGGGGAACTGTCTTGAAGTGTAGACTGGGATATGTAATGGCCGGAGGGTTTAAATGTTTACTAGCTTAAGTGGGCATCTCTTCAGATATAACGTGTCAGACTGAAATATCTGCCATACAGGCTCTGGACCTTGGTCTTTCTGTGAGACTTTACGAAAGAGTGGAATTGACATTACAGCTATATGGGGATACCTTATGCTAAGCGGTGGCTTAAGTTGGTACTTCCCACCTTGTCATTGCACACCCATGATTACATATTATGACTCCCAGGCGTGTTTGAGGCCCACACCTTTTGTGCTATTATTCTGAGTTTGGATCTACTGCTTCGGCAAATATGAATATCGTTCATGTTTCTATACTATCCAGAATTTGGCTACACCTTGGTAATTCCAATTACAAGTTACCTTATAACGTGTCCACCCCAGATGCCCTCGGCTAGCGCCTCACGCAGGGTATTAATATGCAAATACTACGCCTGCTTCTTCACAGACTGCCAGAATTTCTCTCTTCTCTGCAAGACCCGATCACATAAACGGCCGATCTCGACCGTCTTGATGGACGCTCTAGCATTGAAGAACTGATCCAAGTCGATAGTGCCACCGTACTGAACCTCGTACTCATATGCCTGCTGGATCATCTCAAACTTGTCGATATCCTTGACCAAACGGGCCTCGTCGGTTCTGATCTCCTCGTAGTCGAGCCACAATTCAAGCAACTCGCGCGAATACGCAGCGTTGTATGGCTGTATCAACTCGCATAAGTACTCGATCGTCATCAACTCCCGCTCATGCTTCTCTTCCTTACCCACATGCTTGTCAAACGGCGTAATATCGCCCACTAGAGCCTCTGCGATATCATGCACCAAGGCTATCTTGACACACCTGTCGGTGTCGAGCGTGCGGGTAGCTGTGTCGGCCACCATGGAGATGATTCCCATGCGGTACATATGGTCGGCGATGGACTCGCATTCGGTGATATCATGGTCGAGCCAGCCCGTACGGCGCTGCGTCTTCAACAAGCGGACGAGTTGGAGGAACGCCAAGGCGTAGTCCTCCGCCGTAAGACCCTCCTCCGTCAACATCGCCTGCAAGTGCGCTGGCATACATCCCTGTGGCGACCAGCCCCCGGTGGTTGTTTTGGTGAATGTAGACATAAATAGGTTTGGGTGGAGGAGAAGCGAGGAAAAAGCGAAGTGAAAAGTGAAGGGCAAAATATTGATTTGTTTAGGTTTTCGGGTCTCCGGCATGGAAAGCACGTGGCAAACTAAATGGGTAGTCGATGGAGATACAATCAGAGGCTGAGAGCGTGGAGTGAACTAGGAGATGGAATTGTAACAAGTGAAATATTTAATTTTGTTATTATTGGTAGAGACTCATCTAAGAAGGCCAGGGTTATAAAAATATATTGCTTTGATGTATTTTCTTAGGTACTACAGGCTGTGTCATGTACCAATTTAATAAAGCTCGCCATTTGATAAAGCTCATGCCATTTGATAAAGCTCATGCCATTTGATAAGGTTTATACCATTTGATAAGGTTTATACCTTATGCGCTAGAGATGTAATCAGCACTAGTATACCAAATAGGATAAATAACCAAGAATCCTACGTTGATATTAAAAGTGTCGTCTCGGGATTTCCTAGTTAATAGAGATTGTCTCTCTCCCATATAAGACACGAAATTCAGCAACAAATGCTAGAACGCTAAGGCATACCTTGGATAATACGCAAAACTGCGAGAAACATCCTTGTATCGCTACATATCCCTAGGCCCTAAACCTTTCCCTTCAATGGATTACATGGTATATCTTTGTACAGTTATAAATATCTACTCTTCGTCCAAGTCAGGCACCGGGTAGTTCAACAAGCAGGCAATCCCGGTCAATTGATCCAACTGCTCGCCCGAATCGTGCAAGCTGCTGAACAAAAATACTTCACCGCCCCCGACCTTCACAGCCTCGGTCAAGGCAATATAGTGTTTGCGCTTCGGAATGTCGTCGCTTCGGAACAAGGTGTCGGTTATGAGCAACGTCTTGACAGCACCCATCTCCACGGCCTTGGCACACTCCTTGTCGCCGTACCACGCCTTACCGTTATCCTGGTTGAGTACATCAAAGAACTCGTCCAATACCATCACGGCCCTCGCGGATTTAGTGTCCGACAACTGTTTCTGTACCTCTGGCGACTTCAACGCCTCTTCCAAGCCCTGGAGATACCCGGTGGAGCAGTGGGCAATCACAAACTTCAGCTTTGCAGCCATGGCGGCTTTGTCATTCTGCTTCACTGCCAACTCAAAGAACTTGTCGTAGAGCGACTGTGCCACAAAACCCGGCGACGCCACAAGCACCGCTTTCAACTTCTGGAGGTCAAAATGGCGCGCCATCGTCTCTGCCGTCACAGTCAAAAAGCGGTCCATGGCTTTGTCGTGGGCCGAAGAATCGCCTCGTCTCTTCTTTGGAATTGCTTTTTCGTGCTTGTACACCAATACCGTCATGCTCTCGGTGATCAAGCACAAGTGAGCCACACCTTCCTGGAGCACCACGGCCCCTAGCTCTGCCTTGGCACCGATCTGGCACGCCTTGGCGATGATGTCGTACGCTACCTGGTCCCAGTCGGGTTTCCACAACGTGAACGGGTGGTTGTATTCAATCTGAGCCGTGTGGTAGGAGTTTAACGGAACATCGTCGTTGGGGGTTACGGTCTGGCCACGAATGCGCATGCTTTCATCCAGCGACGCAAAGTCCACGGTTTCGATCGCAATGCGGAGCTTCACCACCTTGCGTTCAGTTTTGCCAGACTTGCCGTCTTTAGACTTCTTCACGTTGCGCACCGTGGTGAGCTCAATCTCGTCCGCCTTTTGGATGAGGTTGTAGAGCGCCCAGAGATCCTCTTTGTCTTGTGGTACAAGCACCACGATCCCACTGGCATCCTTTTCAAAGTTCTGTTTCACTAGCTTCATTGTATGAGGTATGGCGAGAAAGCGGTAAACCTAGTGTACAAAAAGCAGTTATACGGGCACCTGAGTTTTCGTGATGACCTGCACCGCAGGAGCATCTCAGATTCTCTCGGTGGGGTCTGGGCGCTGGACTGGGATTGAGTTATAACCGGTCGCGAAGGCAATGAAATTTATGGATATATTATTTAGAACTCAGTAGTTTACAGGTATGAATGGAATTCGGATGATGATGCCCTCTGGTGTGAAATTGGGCATCCTATGGCACCTTGTCCAGGGTTGAAATTATACCTTCCAAATCAGATTCGTTGGCTAATTGTTATATCTAATGTAGCTCCACTCACTTGCCCTTACACTAGGGATCTCTGGATCTGATCCAATCCATTTATTCAGCATCTATACAACCGTTCGTCTTCAAAGAAACGTGCCAGTCAAGCATTATCTACGTATTTCATACATGCACTACTCGCAATCCGTAGCATTCATAATTCGTAATTCATAGATCGAGAAGTATATCCAGAGGTAGTCTCATTGCCTATTCCTTTCTGACACCCTTGCTAGGGTGCTCTTGGAGTAAATACGTACCTCTCTTCCCACTCCAACCACACCTTCTATTACTGCTCGTCCCGTGTCCTTTACTCCACGTTATCCAAAAACCTAGGGTTATTTTGGAGCTTTGCCTTGAACTTGCTCCACCAATCGTCGAACCGCGAGATCGGCACCTTTCCCTGCTCGTCGATGAACCCGCCCAAGAAGTTATACGCGTGGGCCACAATTCGGTTGGCTAGCACCGCTGTGTCTGACAGCTGTGGCTGACTGTGTCTCACTAACGCATTGGACTGGGGTGGCACTTGCTTTGCTTGTTGGAGAAGCATTTCCGCCTGTGCTGTGGTCTCAATCGAGATTCCAATCACGATATCCCCGCTGGCAGGAACATCGTCCATCATAGACTCGTCATCCAAGTATGCGGTGTTCTGCGATGCGGTAGTGCTGTTGAACTTGAAGATGGCAGACGGCTTCACAGCAGAAATGGCTCCCAAGAGCTTGAAGTCCTCGGGAGAGGTGGGTAACTGGAAGTATACGAGACACGAGTAATCATACGGGATCTCGTTGTTGGGGAGAAGAAAAATCGCGACGTGGTTGAGGTTTGATCCGTTAGGGATGGTGAGCACATACTTGTTTGGCCCAACCTGGTTGGCCGTTTGCATTGGTCTTCCCGAGCAGACAGCACCAAACATATTTGACTGGACTGATATGGGCTTTGGGGAGAAAAAATCGAGACTTGCTCTCGTTCTCGAGAAAAAATAAACTTCGTGTTTTTTTAAAAAAAATTCCCCACAGGAACTGTGTCTAAGGTATAATCTGGTATGACCGTTGGGCTTATCCGGGGTTGACCATGAGTATCCTTTATATAAGCGGCGGCAAGCCCTATGCAAAGCGAGCTCCAGTTACCCGGTGTGGAAAATATTTCTTCCAGAAGGTTCGCGATACGCCCAGTACAAAAAGCGCCTGAAGAAAAGGCTTGTCCTTGTTTCCACTCTCATCTCTACTACATCAAGGAGTTCCTTTTCGGGGGAATTTCTTGCTGGGGTGGAAAAAGAAAAGTATAATAATGGTTTGGCACGGGTGTGGCGGCTCTTCGCTGCTGGCTTACGAGTCGGTGGTGGGGCCGCTGGCATCCCGCTAACCTCATGAACTATATTTGATACCTCTGCCCAAGAACAACTACACTGAACATATTCTCCTTATGACTAGTCGTCTCGGCGATAGATGAATATGGAGAAGATACTTTGTGATATTCTTATATGCTGTTTATCTCGTAGATGGCACGTAGCTGGCATCTTTCGTGCGTTTGAAGCCACCAGTAGAAATTGAGGTGACGGAGGATGCATCTGCGAACTACCGCACTCTGAGTGCTGCATGCCGTTGATACTGCAGGGATGCTGAAAGGATCACGTCTCTCTGTTGAGACCTATCAGAGGTGCTCTAAAGAGACATCATAAGCTACTAGAAGTGAATTTAGAGGTGGGGCTGCATGCTAGTACTACAAAGGAGATTGCTAAACGAGGTATTGTAATTATATATAAAGACAAGGAAGATACTTCCATGGGTGCATATGAGCAAATCTAATTCCAGACAAGATAAAAAGCCAGTGTGGAAAAGAACGAAAAAAAGATCCGGGGAGGGACGCAAGCAGGAAGGAGATAGTAAAAGGAAAGATGAGAAATTTGAAAGCGAAAGTAAGGAATAACTCCCAAGCTGAAGCAGTGAGTTTACTTAGATGCAGCAGCGGTAGCAGCAGCGGCCCTGACATCCCACTCAACAATGCCTTCGGAGGTAGTCATAGTGCTCCGTATTGGGTTGACAACCACGGTGACAACAGTGGCACCGGAGGTGAAAGGCACGGTGGTGGTAGTAGCGGCCGTACCAGTCCAGGTAGATGTAATGGTAGTGTAGGCGGTGGTTGGAGATGGAACCAAGTCAGTGATAGTGACAACAGTAGCACCGGAAGAGAATGGAGCAGTGACAGT